ATGTAGTAATTTGATGTCTTAAAGTAATTTTAAAAACAATTTTATTTTATGTTGAAAATGTTAGTTTATACTATCATAATATAGCAAAAAAGTGCCAACGTAAAATTGCTGTTTTATTCGTATAATCAAATGCCACCGTTGGCCTGACGGCGGTTGTATGTTGTAATTTGATGTCTTAAAGCAACGGCGGGCCGATGTCTTTAAACCACGGCGGGCCGATGTTTTTAAGGCAACGGCGGGCTTATGTATCAAAATAACCACCAGCCGACATGAAAATGATCGTCTTGCCGACGTCGGACCGACATAATGCCGCTTATTAAAGTTTTTAGGCCCAAAATATATATTTTAAAATAATTTTATTTTATGTTAAAAAAAAATAGTTTATACCATCATAATATAGCAAAAAAGTGCCAACGTAAAATTGCTGTTTTATTCGTATAATCAAATGCCACCGTTGGCCTGACGGCGGTTGTATGTTGTAATTTGATGTCTTAAAGCAACGGCGGGCCGATGTCTTTAAACCACGGCGGGCCGATGTTTTTAAGGCAACGGCGGGCTTATGTATCAAAATAACCACCAGCCGACATGAAAATGATCGTCTTGCCGACGTCGGACCGACATAATGCCGCTTATTAAAGTTTTAAGGCCCAAAATATATATTTTAAAATAATTTTATTTTATGTTAAAAAAAAAATAGTTTATACCATCATAATATAGCAAAAAAGTGCCAACGTAAAATTGCTGTTTTATTCGTATAATCAAATGCCAATGTTGGCCCGACGGCGGCAGTATGTTGTGTTTCGATTATAATTTACTAACGCTTTGCCGTCCAAAAAAATAATGTTGGCCAAACGTCGCGCCGACGTCCACAAAAGATAATCGTGTTGCCGACCATCGCCCGCTGATTAATGTTTGCTGGGGCTCTCTTGTAAACACATTGAACGGTATCTTCAAGCCGAACGAAAAAGTGCACGCGTTGACAGGATTTGGGAACCAAATTGTTTATGCTCTAGGAATGTGTGAACTAATAACTGTGTTGTCGACCGTGACCTTAGAAATTTGTTTTATTGTTGTGCTGGATGAAATAATTCCAAGTGATATTGACATTATTATTGGATGGGCGCGATAATTTTGTCGACGCAGACAAGGCCGACGAAGACGCTCGAAATCGAATGAACTTTAATGCAAACAAACAATTTTTACGATTTAACGCTACTCGATGCTCTACAAAATTGTTTATTCCTGGTGACGTTGTAGCCATTGAAGATTCACAAATTGCTGGTGGAGGCAAATTAAAACCAAAATATAGAGGACCTTATACTGTTCGACAGGTGTTATCAAATGAGAGATATGTTCTGCACAAGAGGACCACAGTTGCTGCCCTTGAACAGCTGAGGCCGTGGCCAAAGGAATAAAAAAATGTAAGTCCTGTATTTAATAATAATAATAAAAAGACAAGATAGTAGCAATCCTACTATGCTTGGGAGATGACTAAACATCTCGGTGAAAGTGGCAATCCCACTGTTAAGGATGGCAACCCATCCGACAAAAAAAAATAAATAAACAAGATAGTAGCAATCCTACTATGCTTGGGAGGTGACTAAACACCTCTGTGAAAGTGGCAATCCCACTGTTGAGGATGGCAAACCCATCCGACAAAAAAAAAGACAAGATAGTAGCAATCCTACTATGCTTGGGAGGTGACTAAACACCTCGGTGAAAGTGGCAATCCCACTGTTGAGGATGGCAAATCCATCCGACAAAAAAAAAGACAAGATAGTAGCAATCCTACTATGCTTGGGAGGTGACTAAACACCTCTGTGAAAGTGGCAATCCCACTGTTGAGGATGGCAAACCCATCCGACAAAAAAAAAGACAAGATAGTAGCAATCCTACTATGCTTGGGAGGTGACTAAACACCTCGGTGAAAGTGGCAATCCCACTACTGAGGATGGCAATACCATCCGACTTTAAATTAGATTTAATTTAGATATATTTCAACTTTAAAAACAAAAATCTGTTTCGGTTTTTCTTTTTGCAGAAATAAAAAAAAGAAAAGGAAAAACGGCGCGAGGACGCTCCGAAAACAGGATGGCCGTGTTAGGATAATCCCTTTTTTACCAAAGTAGGACAGTAGAGCAATAATGGCACGTGTGCCTACTAAGCAAAACAATCTGGGCACAGCTTAGAAATCGAATGGTAACGCAGAGTCCGCAGAACATTTGTAGAAGTCGAATCATAGCAGTTTAATAAATTTAGTTAAAAAGTAATAAATAATAAGTGAAGCCAATCAAAGTAGTTTTATTCAGGGTAAAATACCCTGATGTTTTACATGTATACAATAAAAATTAGGTCCATTCCTGGTTCTATTTAATCTATTCCTTTCTAGACATATATCCCGTCTGTTTCTAGTAGGATAGCCATGTACAGTGTCCTGGCTATTGTAAATTTGTAGATTTTTTTTAATATAAATTAGACATTCAAAAATAAGCAAACATGGAAAGGTAAGAATTTTTAATGAAATAAAGTGATGTTTACATTCCGATCGATAAGATATATTCGCAATAATTCTAACTGCACGTCTCTGAAGACTAAATACTCTGGATTTGGAGCTAGATGCGCCCTATAATAAGATGCCATATCTAAGTGTTGACTCAACAAGTGCAAAATATGCTGTTCTTAAGTAAGATTTGGACAGAATATGAGCAAGAATTCGCAATAAAAATATATTAGCAGTTAATTTTTTAGCAACATCTTCAGCTTGGTTATGCCATAATAACTTAGAGTCTATATGTATAGTATACATATAGACTCTAAGTTATTATGGCATTATACATTGTATACCCAAAAACTTTGTATGTTCGGTCAGTTCAAGATTTGTTTTGATATTTGGGATATTGTGAATATTACACTGAAAAAAATAATTTGTTTAAGCAACTAAAAAAAAGTTGCGCCAACAAATTTTATTTGTAGCTATAGCCTCAACTAAAATCTTTGTTACAACAACAAATTTTTTTTGTTGAGACATAATATGTTACTGTAACTAATATTTTTTGTTGACAAAACTATGGCGTCTTGTTTAAAGTAACTAATATTATTGATATCTCATACAATAATATTTTGTTGTTAAAACAGTTTACATTTTTTTTAGGTAATAATTTATTTGTTTCTATAACTTTTTGCATTTGTTTTCATTATAAATCTATTTGTTGGAAAAGCTATGGTAATGAGTAACTACAACATTGTTGCTTTGTTATAACATTTGGTAGTTCTTTTAATCACCAAAAAAAAATTTTCGTTAAAAGAACTTAAACAATATTAACCTATGCCTACACAATATTGTTAAAGCACCTCTTTCAGTATGTAATACTAATTAATAAAAAGAGTTGCATTAACAATATTGTGTAGGTATAGGTTAATATTGTTTGATTTTTTTTAACAAAAATTATTTGGGTACCTTTAAAAGTATTTTCTAATGAAGAAAATCCCCACTCGGTTAATATTTGGTTTACTCCTTCATCCATACCGCCCAATGCCCAAAAATTAATTAACGCGAACCTGCTTCCTCTAGCATTTGCACAAAAATTTTTTGACAGTGACAAATTATTTTTTTATTATTCAATCACTATGACACCAAGACTTAACTTTAACCATGGCACCAAGTCGGTCAACTTTATAAAATAAATTTCAATGTCACATCATGTCAATTTTGGGCGAAAATTGACAACAAAAACATATTTGTTATGTTTACTAAGGATACCTATTAGCGGCGACGCATATTGTCAGTAGGGTAAACTAATTATTTCCAACAAATTCATTTTTGTTGCAAATACTAATGTATTAAACACTTTACTTGGGTTAACAAATTTTTTATTAGGACCAACAAAAACAATTGCAACAAAAAATTTATTGGTTGATAAAACAGATTTGTTTTTTCAGTGTATATTGACCGTCTTTTCAACATTTAAGTTTAATTTGTTGGTGTTAAACCATTGCAGGGCTTTCGATTGTGTAGCGCAACTATTCTGATTCACAAGTTCTAATTTTTTACCTCTTACAGCAAATGAGGTGTCATCTGCAAACAATGTTATATTGTTTGGTAAAGATAGATAGTTTGGCATATCATTGACAAATATTAGAAATAATAGAGGTCCCAGGATCGAACCCTGAGGAACACCATGAATTACCTGAGAAGGTTTGGACTCAGAGCCATTGTGTATGTCTTGAAGATAAGTATGAGCTTATCAATTTTACACTGTTAGGGTGAAAATTGTAGCAATATAATTTTCTAATTAGAATTTCGTGCGATACACAATCAAAAGCCTTACTCAGGTCTAAGAATGTGCCTATCAAATATTCGCTGGACTGGAAGCAGTTATTTACTTCGGAAATAAATGATAAAATGGCATCGTTTGTGGATAAGCCTTTACGAAAACCAAATTGTTTATCTGTAAATAATTTAAAAGATTGGAAATATTCCAAAATTTGTTTAAAGATAAGTTTTTCGTATACTTTTGAGAGGATTGGTAAAAGCGAAATAGGACGGTAATTATTAACCTGATTTCGATCACCTTTTTTGTATACTAGGAAAACAATTGCTTTTTTTAAAGTCTTAGGAAAGATTTTAGAATTAATGCTTAAGTTAATTAGTTTTGTAAAAGGGATAAATAGTACATCTATTTAAGTTTTGATGAGACCCACATTATTATAAGCATATAATAGCATATTTCAGTTTTTACTTGCAACGCGAAACACAAATAACGTGCGCGATTCAGCTGTGCAATTGAAACTTTGCGACCAAAATTGGTCGAGTAATGTGCAGTTTAAATGCTTTAAATGTATTGTTGACAATTCTTGAATGATTAAGCATAACAAGTTTGTTTTGATGTACTTTACCCCCCGAAGGTTTGTCGGTACGTTTTATCAACAAATTTAGGATGTTCGATGAACAATCGAAAGTGAGTGTAACTATCAACCCTCAGTCCTAGCTTATAACCTACCTGACATCAATGACTTTGAACCCATCCCTTGACCCATCCTGGATGATGGTCTGAGTGGTACCATCGCACTGGTAGTAAGGCACGCACAAGTGCACGTCCTTGTCAGCTCCTTCCCCGCATTTTTCAATGGCTCCTATGCTTTCGGTGGGCTTCTTCGTCACCTCTTCGTAGACGTCGTCGAAAGCTTGGCGAGGAGTAGCAGACGTGAACAGCTTGTTAACCGCCGCATCCCTCTCGTTGTCGTTCTGGCAAGAGGCGAGCGCCAGTGCACACAAAACAATCGCGGCTCTCATTGCGACATCAATTGTTTTCCTATGAGTGACCTTGACGAGATCGTTTTTTCAACTTTCGAACGCTTCGCGACCACCGACAAACAACCAGCCGAGCTACTTGTAAACTTAAAACAAGTCGTTTATTTACAATGTAAATTTTCATACGGCTATCCCCACTAAGAAGGAGGCGATTGTTGTTTGTATCATGATTGTGGTGTAGCAGCAGCACGGGATTACCAGCGGCGTGTTTGTGTGAATTTGACCTTTTTTGGACGTCACCGAGTTAGCTGCGATTAAAAGCGATCTTCTTGGTCGTTTTGTTTTTTAGTCAATAAACATGTTTATTTAACATATGTAAATCATCGCTTACTTAACCTCGGGTCTGCATATTTATTTTTTTTTATGATTTTTTTCAACAATTTATTTGACACGTGAAAATTGATTTAAAACATTATATAAAAAATATGGTTTTAGACTTAGTCTAGCTTTCATAGGTTTAAATTTTAATAGCTTATTCCTCAAGGGTGAATAGGTCTTTTAAGAATGTACTCAAAAACTGTTTATGGGGTATTTTTCGGGAACGTTTGGTCTCCTCAAAATCACTTTCATTGAAATCCCACCTGATCGGAAACTTTTTTTATTTTTTTATTTTGTGTGGTAATTTTTAAGAGATGAGGGACTGTTTGGTTTTCTAATTTAGAAAAAAGCCTGTTTCTGATATTCAAAACATATATTTATTAAAAATTATAACCAGTTTCTATAAAAAATTAAATTAAATCATTTTAAAGTGTATCTCCTCAAGGGTAAATAGGTCTTTCAAGAATGTACTCAAAAACTGTTTATGGGGTATTTTTCAGGAACGTTTGGTCTCCTCAAAATCACTTTCATTGAAATTCCACCTGATCGGAAACTTTTTTTATTTTTTTATTTTGTGTGGTCATTTTTAAGAGATGAGGGACTGTTTGGTTTTCTAATTTAGAAAAAAGCCTGTTTCTGATATTTAAAACATATATTTATTGAAAATTATAACCAGTTTCTATAAAAAATTTAATTAATTCATTTTAAAGTGTATCCCGTAACAACCTGTTAACATAACACAACATATAAACTATACTTAAATGAGTTGATGAAAACTCTACTACTGCTTTTAGTAACAAACGACAGAATCTCTCATTGCCAATGTCATTTAATTTATACTTTTTCCAAGTTTTAAGGAACAGGGAGTATAACGACTCTCCCGGCTTTTCTGACCATATACCCAAAGCTTCAATATTTGAGAATTTAATTTCATCTACAAGATGGTTTAAAGCAATATGAATTTTTAAAGTTGTTCAGAGATTAGTTGCTTTAAAACATTTTCTAAAGTTTTCGATATCCTGATTAAGATCTTTTTAACTCTGCATATATGGCGATATTAAAGATCATTTCAACAAATTTTGTCTCCTTCAAAATGAAAAAAAATCAGCTAAGCATTGCTTTAGTACCGTCAATATGCCTTTATTTGAGGAAGCACGAAACAGACTTGTTTTCGACAAGTGTTTGATTCCCGAACTGCATATATTACAAGGTTTCGTAAACCGTTGTTTTTGGAATGGTCTGGTTTCTCTTTTAGGAAGGGAGCAAGCTCTAAAATAGCCAAAAAAGTTATCCTTGATAGTGAAATATTCTAAGGAAACGCATGTAGAAAACACCTACAAAATTCAGATTTGCTTGTAGACAGCGATATTCTTGGTAGCGTTTCCTACTTGGAAGTTTTACCATTTATTTCATGTTTTAAGGCCATGAACATAGTTGTTATTAACAACTATGTTCATGGCAACAACTTGTTAATGATTGTTTCTCATCAGAGTTAAAATAAAACGGTCTTGTTCAGGATATCGAAAACTTTAGAAAATGTTTTAAAGCAACTAATCTCTCAACAACTTTAAAAATTCATATTGCTTTAAACCATCTTGTAGATGGAATTAAATTCTTAAATAATGAAGCTTTGGGTATATGGTCAGAACAGTCGGGAGAGTTCCTTAAAACTTGGAAAAAGTATAAAATAAATGACATTAACGATGAGAGATACTGTAGTTTGTAACAAACTGTAGTTTGTAACAAACTGTAGTTTGTAACAAACTGTTTGTTACTAAAAGCAGTAGTAGAGTTTTCCTCAACTCATTTATAGTTTATATGTTGTGTTATGTTAAAAGGTTGTCACGGGATACACTTGAAAATGATTTAATTTAATTTTTTATATAAACTGGTTATAGTTTTTTAATAAATATATGTTTTGAATATCAGAAACAGGCATTTTTTCTAAATTGGAAAACCAAACAGTCCCTCATCTCTTAAAAATGACAACAAAAATAAAAAAATATATAAAAAATCTAAATATTTTAAGTTTCCGATCAGGTGGGATTTCAATGAAAGTGATTTTGAGGAGACCAAACATTCCCGAAAAATACCCCATAAACAGTTTTTGAGTACATTCTTGAAATACCTATTTACCATTGAGCACCCCTGTGTAAATAAGCTATCTTAATTTATTATATTTTAAAGTAGAAATTTTAGGGACAACTGACAAATGCTAGAGAGCCTAATGGTATAATGAACCAGATACCCACTATCTCCATAATAGTATATTATATATCAAGTTTTATAAACTCCATTTTAGTTACGAGTTTTATGAGGCACGAGCGAAGGTTGCAAGCGAGTGTTTAATAAAAACGAGTGTCTAGATAAGTTTATAAAACGAGTTGCATACTATGCATTATATACGACGATTTGGCATCTGTCAAATGTCTACGGAATTAACTTCAATTTTCTCTAATTTATAATAAAGCCAACTTCAGCCCGTGACTAAAATGTCCGAAGGCCACTATTGCTAAGTTCGATTGTGTATTGTTTTGAAGAAATAAACAGTCATTTCACAATGTATTAAAATTTATTATTAAAGTTACTTAGTCAAAAACAATGCGTTAATATGAATAAGAATCGAAATCGACGTTGGCTTTTCTCATCTGCTCGTCGATCCAGTCTCTGAAGGAAGCAACATTGGCGTACACCCCTGGGGTGTTATTCTCGCCGCAGCCGATACCCCAGGCCACAATACCGGCCTGGTAGTACCTGTCAGTTTGGCCAGGAATTGGGCACACCAAAGGACTGCCACCGTCGCCTTTGCACGTGTCCTTCCCAGGCTCGCCCCCAGCGCATATGAAGCTAGGATGAAGCTCGAAGTACTTCCCCAACCTGGTGGTCCTCAGCTTGTCCTGGCAGGTCTGGCGAGGCACGACCGGAAGATCGATTTTCTTCAGGATCACTTGGTACTTCCCCTGCTTGCCGAACACGTCTTTTCCCCAGCCGCTGGCAAAGCACCTGGAATTAGGGTTATGATAGCACAGTTTATTCTAAAAATGTTTTTTAAACCTTCCAGTGGGAATATTCTTAGGATCATGCTATATTTCTTCTAAATAACATGCTTAAAAAAAATAGCATAATCCTAAGAATATTCTCACTGGCCTATAGGCAGGTTCTTAGAAGGTGCAAAGTTTAGTGGTAAAAATTAATCCACTCTAAACATATGGTTAGAATGTTGAAAAAGTAATTGCTATAGAAAGTTCATTTAGGAATATTCCTGGAACATTCTGTTAAGCATATTCAGTTTAGTTAGGTACCTATATAATAGTAAAATATACCATAATCTACGTATAAAGGTAGTATTAAATACTATGTAAAAAACACAACCCAAAATATTTTTTTATAGTTACCTATTTGTCAAATTAAAACAATATTCGATAACAAAAATACTTTTTCTATAGGTATCTAAATTATCCGGCTTTTACATAAAATCTTCTATCCAACTTAAATACAATGAAAAATGTTTTTTTATGAAGAACTATATTTTATAAGGAAATATTTTGTTTTTTTATATTTTATTTTATGTTAAAAATAAATTTTTATTAATGTGTATACCGATTTTTTATTTCTGAATTAACATTTTTATGTATAATAATCCTAACTATCTTCAACTTCAATCTAATCTGACTTATCCCACAAAATTTTCCAATTTTACTTTTTATGAAATATGTCATACAACTTATGGTTTAGAGGTCAAATTGTTTATTTAATATTTTTAAATAAATATATATTAATATGTCGCAAAATTTTTTTAGGGGGCAAAAAATACATTTCACTGTCATATTATGACAGTGAGGCGTATTTGTCGCCTCCTGAAGAATTTTACGAATGTAGAATCCAACATATTTGAACGTGGGTATTTGACATATTTGGAAATATTCTCAAAAGCTTCCTAGAAGCTCCATAAGAAACCTTCTAAGAACATTCCAAAAACGTATTCTTAAAATGTTCTTAATATGCTTTTTAGGAAGGTTTTAAGAAGCTTCTAAGAATCTAATTGCATAATTAAAAGGGTATCTATTGAATGTTTTAAAAGTCCCTAAGAACATTCTTAGTAATAAGGGAAGGTTCTTAGAATATTCCATTATTCCGGGTCATATCTTCTTAGAATATTCTTAGAATCAAATTTTGCTATCAGGGTTGTACTTGAAATTTCACTTGAAATTTTCACGAAATTTATTAAAATTTCCTAAATGTCTGAAATTTCATGAAATTTATTGAAACTTTCAATAAATTTCAATCACTTTAAGTGTAAATATATTAATATTGAAATAAGCCCACTCGGTGACCATGACAAATTGCCTCTCTTACCTCCTACCCCTCTGTGGGCCCCTGCACCAATAATATAAATAAATAGTAAATACCTATGTTTACCACAAATTTCTTGAGATTTCCTTTTAAAATATTTTTAAAATTACTAAAACTAAGAGAGATATAGCACTTTTTGGTAAGCTAACGAGATTGTGCCACTTTCAATGTTTTATATTTATATATATTTATTAGTTTTATATATTTTACTGAAATTTTACAAAAATTGAAGAAACTTCATCAAAATTTTATGAGCCAAAGGCATTTTTTATCCGTTTTCCGATGCAATTATAGCAAAAGTAAAAGTTTAAATTAATCATGACTTTTAAAAAAATGTTAAAGTCTGATTTAATTTACAAATTAAATTGGTAACTGAATTAAATTATTTAAATTAATGTATGCATATAAGTAACAATAATTACAATAATTACGTACTTATAGTGTATTCAAATCCAAGCCGAACTAAACAAAAACGCCCAGACGCTTGATAACTCGTTCTTATTGGTCGATTCGGAATCTGTTGTAAATTATTATTAAAGGTCCCAGGGGAGGCCGCATGTGAAATTTATGCGAAATTTTCAGTAAATTGCGAAACTTTCAATGATATTTCTGAAAGTTTCACAGGCAATGTTGAAATTTTCGAATCGAAAATTTCATTTGAAATTTTTAAAAATTTCACTTTTCCAACTAAATGAAGTATTTCAAGTTTGAAACTTTCAAAGTTGAAGTATTCATTTGAAAATTTCAACTGTCCCAACCCTACCTGGAATGATCCGAGACCGTGCCTTTTGGCGGCAAACAGATGACGTCAACGTTTTCAGCCGGAGTAACCGGTTGCCTCAAGAACAACAACGCAATGTCGTTGTACAAAGCGCCGGCGTAATACTGAGGGTGAATAACGGAACTGGCCACGTCACGATCTTGATGCGGGTACAATTCTTGAGTGGTTTGCGTGTCCCATTCGCCAGCTCTGATTTTGAATTGATTTTTCTTCTGGGCGATGCAATGGGCTGCTGTCACCACCACCTGGGGGTGAATGAGGGCCCCTCCACATTGATACACGTTGAGGTTCTGATTGCTTCCTTCCACTACTTCCTCCTTTAATACAGCTACCATCCAGGGAAATTCGCCGAACTGGGCTTCGTTATCTTTATCCCCGGTGATTCTGAAACCAACGCCTTCTTCGTTGCGGTAACCGCAACCTCTTTTCTTGTTCGGTTTGGGCTCTGGTAGGAGAGGTTCCCTGGTTTGTTGCTCTTTGTCGCAACATATTTCGATGTAGCTTGGGCAAGCGGATTCCTCGTTTATCCTGAAAAATAGTTATTTATGTCATCCCTGATAGCACAGTTTATTCTAAGAATGTTTTTAAACCTTCCAGTGGGAATATTCTTAGGATCATGCTATATTTCTTCTAGTCATGTTCTAAGAATGTTTTTTAAACCTTCCAGTGAGAATATTCTTAGGATCATGCTATATTTCTTCTAAAGAACATGCTTAAAAGAAATATAGCATAATCCTAAGATTATTCTCACTGGCCTATAGGCAGGTTCTTAGAAAGTGCAAAGTTTAGTGCTAAAAATTAATCCACTCTAAACATGTGCTTAGAATGTTGAGAAAGTAATTGCTATAGAAAGTTCATTTAGGAATATTCTGTTAAGCATATTCAGTTCAGTTAGGTACCTATATAATAGTAAAATATATCATAATCTACGTATAAAGGTACTTATACTAAGTGAAAAACACAACCCAAAATATTTTTGTATAGTTATTTGTCAAATTAAAACAATATTTGATAACAAAAATACTTTTACTATAGGTATCTAAATTATCCGGCTTTTACATAAAATCTTCTATCCGACTTAAATACATTGAACAATGTTTTTTTTAAGAAGAACTTTTTATGAAGAATTATTTTATAAGGAAATATTTTGTTTTTTTATATTTTATTTTATGTTAAAAATAAATATTTATTAATTTGTATACCGATTTTTTATTTCTGAATTAACATTTTTATGTATAATAATCCTAACTATCTTCAACTTCAATCTAATCTGACTTATCCCACAAAATTTTCCAATTTTACTTTTTATGAAATAATGTCATACAACTTATGGTTCAGAGGTCAAATTGTTTATTTAATATTTTTAAATAAATATATATTTAATATGTCGCAAATTTTTTTAAGGGGACGACAAATACATTTCACTTTCATATTATGACAGTGAGCTCACGCCTAGGCGTATTTGTCGCCTCCTGAAGAATTTTACGAATGTAGAATCCAACATATTAGAACGTGGGTATCTGACATATTTGGAAATATTCTCAAAAGCTTCCTAGAAGCTCCATAAGAAACCTTCTAAGAACATTCCAAAAACGTATTCTTAAAATGTTCTTAGAATGCTTTTTAAGAAGGTTTTAAGAAGCTTCTAAGAATCTAATTGAATCATTAAAAGGGTATCTATTGAATGTTTTAAAAGGCCCTAAGAACATTCTTAGCAATAAGGGAATGTTCTAAGAATATTCCATTATTCCGGGTCATATCTTCTTAGAAGATTCTTAGAATCAAATTTTGCTATTAGGGAAGGCTTTTTTTGCTAAGCTCAAGGTTTGAACTGAGCGAAGCACAAAAAGGCACTTCTTGGCCGAATGGCATACAACATTTCATCTTCAAAGCACTTTATATAGGTCAATTTAATTCAACATCAAAGCGGCCTAACCTCACTTTTTTATAATCTCATTTATTTATTAGCTAAAGATGACATTAAATGTACAATAATTATTATTGCTTTTAGAAGCAGTTATAGTTTGACAATACAACATGATTTAAGTAGAAATGGATTTTTGCTATTACATTGAATTCAATTAATTGTTTAATAAATAGGTAGGTATCTAATTTCAATTTGTTTGGATTTTTATTTAAAAAATAGGTAGTTTGGAATGTTTAAGCTGTGTTTAACATTTAATTTCACTGAAAACTTAAAGCAAATTAAAACTTAAAGATAATTTAAATCGTAGAAAAAGAATCGTGCGTTTTCTTGGTTGCCTAATCTCACTTTTTGTTTTATTATTCATATTTAATTTTACAATAATTTAATGAAAAATATTAAACATTAACAGTAAAACAAACAAATTAGTGCTTATCATAAATAAATTAAACCAGTTTAGTACGTTAATTTAAAAATTTAAAAGGATTAATTTGTCAAAACAATACCCCTAGCGAGAAAAATCGAACTAATAGCTTGCCTCATAAAAATTTTTATCGGCCTAGGCCATAACAAGGTATTTCGTTATCGAATGTTGACAACAATAAAGTTTAAATTATAGACCGCGTGGAGATAAAATATGTTAATTAGGTACTTTTTAATTAGAAGTCAAGACTTAAACAATATTTATGTTTTTGTTGTCTGCATATCATAATAATAAAGAAATTAAATATATATTTATTATTTATTGTGATGATTTTGTTTCTTAAAAATAAAATACAAATTTATAGTCTATCTAACGATTGTTGTTTTGTTTAATAATTGGAACAAGATATTTAATTATGTTATTGAAAATCCCTAGAAATAATTTCGTAATTACACTGGACATTTGACCATGATGTTAATTAATTAATAATCAGTACGCAAAACAACGGAATTCCCAATTTTGCATGGTATGTTGTTGCAATTTCGTTTTATTTATGGATCACAAATTCACACTTTCAAAAACATGTTTCACACCAGAAACACATTTGACCTTTAACTTTCTAAAAGAATTGCGACAATCCCTATAGACCACATCTCAATAAAAATTTAAATATTTTAATATAAAATATTATTTTTAAATAATTGCTAATACACTCACAGGCAAAATAATCGATCTACACAAATTTTCGATGAATTTCAATCGCAAATAACTTTTTTATTTGATGTCAGATTTAAACGAATATTAAAGAATATTGTAGATAAATTAATGGACAATCGCTCATATGTTAAAAAATTACTAAAAAATAGACGTACGTATATAATATACAGGTTTAAACAAAAAGAAGTTTTTTACCATAAGTTTAAGACACTCTGTAGAGTGGCTAAACCGTATATTGTTCTAAATTAAGTTGTAATTATCAAGTAACATCTATTTTAACAGTTTTGTTTTTGGTTCACCTTAAGGTGATATCAATTGATATATTTATTTTTGTGGAAAATATGGATTTTTTTTTTAAATTGCAATTTCCAATATTTTCCTGTATGAAGGACTAAGGTTGCTATGCTCCATCCATAGGCTATGGAGAATGACAGTGACAGTTTTGTTGAATCATCCCATACTTGGACATGTCATACACGGCTTTCAAAAGCTATCAAATTGTTTTTTGCAAATTAATGTTTAAATTTTGAGGTGTCTTCTTACTTTAAAAAATTGATATGTCTCCGACTGATGTTGCCAGAGCCATTAATTTAATCCAGGATGGACGGTCACAGTATTACGTGGCAAGTGTTTTAAACGTCACAAGAAGTAAAGTACAAAGGGCAACATCAGTCGGAGACATTTTTAAAAGTAAGAAGACACCTCAAAATTAACACATTAATTTACAATAAACAATTTGATACCTTTTGAAAGCTGTATATGACATGTCCAAGTATGGGATGATTCAACAAAACTGTCACTTTCATCCTCCATAGGCTATGGATGGACCATAGCAACCTTAGTTCTTCATACAGAAAAATATTGAAAATTGCAATATTTTTTTAAAAAATCCATATTTTCCACAAAAATAAATATATCAAGGTAAACCAAAAACAAAACTGTTAAAAATAGATGTGACTTGATAATTAAAACTTAATTTAGAACAATATACGGTTTTGCCACTCTACAGAGTGTCTTAAACTTATGGTAAAAACATCTTTTTGTTTAAACCTGTATATTATAAACGTACGTGTATTTTTTAGTAATTTTTAAAATGTGAGCGATTCTCCATTAATGTATCTACAATATTCTTTAATATTTGTTTAAATCCGAAATCAAATAAAAAAGTTATTTGCGATTGAAATTCATCGAAAATTTGTGTGGATCGATTATTTTGCCTGTGAGTGTACATAATTTTATTAAAATCAGGACTAATAAAAGCGCTTGAGTGATTTTTTTCAAGGGCAAGGAGGCGCTTGCTTCTCTTGAGATTTATATTTATATTTATATTATTTATGTCCAGAGGTCAAACAAGTTAAAAACATTACACATACTTGATTACAAATTTTCTTCGATTTGTTTTTTTATCTATAATTATCTATAGATATATACGTATACAAATGAAAGTAAATAAATTACACTGAGACAAATCTCATTGGCGGCCTTAAAAACTAAATAACTCCTGAAATTTTGCGTATTTTAAAAAATGATAAGGATAAATTTGTCTTTATATTCTTTTTTACAATCTTACATTTAAATATCTTCTTTTAATGGACAAAATACTAACTAGTCATTAAGTAACATTTGCTCTCATTGAGATCTCCATGGAGTATACTGCCTGTTGTAAATGACCGATTAATTCCTTATAGAAACCAATTGAAGTATTGGTTGGTATCAATAGGTCTGAATTGGACTTACTGGGTTGAATTGGGAGCGATATAAAACAGAAATTGGTTTTCACTGGTGTTTTCCATGATGGAAAAGTCCGATTAGGATTCTACTGTTTTTTAGTGGTTTCGATTGGTTAAAGCTACCAATAGGTAATTTCCAATTGAATTCAATTGGGCATTCCCAGTGTAAGATTCTAGAAAGGAATCTGCTAATTGGTTGTTCCCAATACTTTAAAATACTTTAAAATATGAAAAAGTCCCATTAGGTCACTGGTGTTTTCCATGATGGAAAAGTCCGATTAGGATTCTACTGTTTTTTAGTGGTTTCGATTGGTTAAAGCTACCCATAGGTAATTTCCAATTGAATTCAATTGGAAATTCCCAGTGTGAGATTCTAAAAAGGAATCTGCTAATTGATTATTCCCAATACTTAAAAACATCGCAAGAGGGCTCTTATGTAGCTTGCTAAAACCAACGTACGCAGTCCTTGTTCGAATGGTTGAGACTCCATCATAAAGAAACAAACAAGTCTTTGGACGCTATTTAATGTCGTTTTTGTATTAGTCGGTTTCTTTCATAATCTATGGGTTTCTGTGCTTAGTGGTAGTTGTGTACTTATACATTAAAAAAATGTTTATATTTGTAAGGTTTAGAGACGATAGAAATTTGACATAAATAATATTGATTTCGACCATGCCTTTAAACATCCTTTGCAAGAAAGAAAAAAAAAAGATTATAACCGAGTAATTTTATTTATTTTTTATTACTCGTCCCAGCTCTTGACTAAGTAAGTAGCGTGGCAGCGGAGGGAGTGATTAAACGTAAATTGTTAAAAACCATAACCAACAAATAATTATTATAATCCCTCAAAGTGCAAAAAGCTATAGTGTAACAAATACAGTGAGTACAGACTTCTCTACGGTCAATAATTAGTTAAGGGCCGAGTGAAAAGGAAGAGGAAAGAGTGAATTGACAAGTGCAAACGAACATAGTGAAACGGTCAAAAGAGTTAAGTGTTAAGTGACAAGAAAGAGTTAAGTGACAAGTGTCAGTGTCTGAGCGGACGCACCATCTGTCAACAGGACGATTTTCACTGGCCAAACAAGAGAGGTCAAACAAGGGAGGAATAGGCCACCTGCAAATATTTGATAAGTATCCTCAACTCATCGGCATGACCTAACACATAATTTGCAAATTAAACTAAACAAGGCACATTGCCTAATCCCTACAAAAAAACAATAATCATCGGTAACAAAACAATAGAAAGTCATACTATCCAAAAAAAAAACAAACAGCCGATCGCGGACATACACCAAAGCTGAACTGGGCAATAAAGCTGTCAACAAAACAATTCAAGTATAACAAACCGAGACCAAATAAATTTGACACTTAAGACATAAATAACACTCATAAACTAAGAAAACATAAACAAAGTAAAAAAAAGCACTCTAATCAAACTCCATGGAATTTGTAAACACATTAGACTATTACACTAAAAGTAAAAAAAATACCTGCTAATGGGAAAAACCATTACCAAAAGGGTAAGAGTAGCCCAATTAAAATACTGGGCCCACGTCACTCGTAGACAACGCAACAACATACTACAAGCCACCTTTAAACTAGATCTTACAGAAAAAAAAGTCGGGAGACCATGCTTCACATTTCATGACACGTTAGCACAAAACATGCACTTCTCACAAATTAACAAGACCAGTTGGGAGCAACTAAGCAACAATAAAAACAAAATAAAAAAAAACAACTGACACACTTTACCAAGTGCAGGAACTATCTGATACGGACAATGACAATAATGAACAAGACGAAGACCTCGACTAGGAAAATACACCCCTGCAGCGTAATAACAACTCCCCAACTCCAAATAGTAATCCCAAATGTTTAGAGTATTACTAATCGACTGGTCTAGGGGGATTCCGCGTCGTACTTAGTTTAAAGTCGGCGTAATTGTCCCCCAAAAACCAACACCCTCCCGTCCCTCCTCCATACCCCACTGAGCGTATAGCATAGGCTCGGCGAACCCGAGAATGGCTATTAAAACTATTCTCCTCTCGCTCTCGAGCCCCAAATAGGGGACAGTACGGAACGCAATGGACATTCGCACCCAGCAAACACGGGTGAAGCCGTGCAGTTGCTGGGGAAGAACAAAAATCGGCGTAAGTAAACATAGGCCTGTACGGGGTTCGAGAGTCGAGAGGAAATGGGGCTGGTTATACGTCTCTTATACTCATATACTCATACTCATTACTTTTTTTGTGTTGGTAAGTTATATGTATCAATACATATCTCACTAACACAAAAAATAATAAAGAAGTAAAGTTACTCAGTTATAAAAAAAAATTTGTCTCTTCTGTGAAAAATGATTTCTTCTGGGATCTTAATTATTTTTGAATGAAAAATCAACTGATATTTTTAATCCAAATTTAAAAAAATAAATTGGTTGGAAAGGGTTTGGCGCTATGAATTACCAATTAATTCCAGGTGCATTTCTATTGGATTTAGCCAATAGAGACAAGCATAGGCATGGATTGGTATAATCCAATTTAAGCCGCTGATTTCATTTGAACTTACCAATAGGAATGCAACTGGAATGAATTGGTGATTCATAGCACACATTTCAAACCAATTTAAACTAATTACTTATTTTTTATTGGATTATATCGGTCATTTACAATAGCGTTGATATTTGGTTGGGTTTGGTTTTAAAATTCCTTAATTACCTAATATCAATAACTCCTTCACCGTTGGTGTTGATAGAGCCATTGTTACACAAATAATACGGCACACAAGTACAACTGCCTGTCCCTGGTATCCCCCCTGAGTTTGGCTGCAAATTTGGTGGAGCTGTCGTCGAAATCATTGGTTGTGAAGGCGGATTTGGATCCGAAGTTCCAAAGATATCCTGGATCTTCTTATCTACATCTGCTTGGTTATCCACACTACCCTCCCGCTGCTCGGCTTTTAGCTCTTTGATTAAACTGTTCAAGTCCTTGCCTTGCGCGAAAACTACTGTGGCTATTGCTGCTAGGACTATTAGGGGTTTTCCAGGTGACATATTTCTGTTTTATAACTGAAACAAAATATATTGGGATTTAATATTGATAAATTACAGACTTTAACGGCGGCCATTTTTATTTGTTTTCAATTCAGAGCAAAGTCAACAATCTCCCGTCAGACTAAAACTGAGTAAATTGAGATAATTGATTTTGGTATTTTAAATTCTAGATTTGTAATTTTTTTTGTATATTATATTGAAATATTGGTGTTGTTAGTCTAGTAGCAAACTACAAGGTCTCCAGGATGCATAGTATAGGTAAAATCTATAATTATAAATTGGAGATTGCTCATTTTGTTGTAAACGTTTAAGGAAATTTAGAAAAATAACAAAAAAATAATTGTATTTTTTTCCTTTAATGGTTATAAAATTTAACTATACAATCAATGTGGGAAAATTATGAACTGGACCACATAAATCTGGAGTTTCTTCTAAATCTGGGACCAGGTTGCCCCGTGCAAAAAAGTTTTTATAGTACAACAACTCATCATCTTCTTCCCACTTTGCCCCGTAATGTTTTACTTGCAATGTTTTGACATTATCAGCCTTTTCTTGCTTTACCTTTACGTCTTATTATGGTATAATAGCACAAAATAAACAAGATAACTTTTTCTATAATTCTTAAAACAATAAAATGTATATATACCTATTTTAAATATATTTTTAAGTGCAATTTACTGCAATAGAACTTAACAGTATGTACCAGTAAAAAAACACAAAATTAAATCTCTAAAATACGTTATAACATCAAATGTTAGGATATCAGGTAACACAAATTACTAATTTCTAATGGTGGAATTGGAGATTGTATATTTTGTTGCAAATCTATCAGTGGAGATTGTCGACTTTGCACTAAATGTCATTTTTAAAATAGGATTTTAGGCAGGATTTAGTTCCTTTTGCAGCACATAAACTTTATCATCTTATAGATAATTATAATTATAATTAGTTAAAGTACAGTCTCCGCCAAAAATCTAATTTTTGACCAAAAACCTTTATAATCTGTGGTGGAGATTTATCAATCGTACCCGAAGCTGCTTAAGTTATGTTAAAGGAGAATTCCTTATATTTCTTACTTACTTACTTATTTTGTAGTACTTAGATACTAATAAAACACCGATTTTGTCCATATAAAGTGTTTAATTTTTGTACTTGTAACACCCGAAACAGAACCATGGTAACACCAGAAACAAAGTAAAAATTAAAAAAAATAGTAAAACGTTATTTATGACAGTGATTATGTGGTACAGTTAATTTTTTTATCTGGACTTTTTTGTTAGGTTGGTGGCTTATGCCAGTTTGACTTAGTATTTTTAGTATTTAAAAATGGTACTTCTGCTAAAGAACACACTGTAAAATTGACAATAATATTTATTATTGACTATTTCCCTCGTCTTAATTTCCACCAATCACAAACGCGCAATTTTGAATTACAAATGGTTTCTAGGTGAAAAAACTGTGTGACAGCACCTGTCAGCAGTTTTTTCGAGTTTACCCGCGGCCACGGTCTTATATAAGACCGTGCCCGCGGCAAAACTTGACAGCTGTTGTCACCAAAAATTGCAATTTATATTTTAATTGTTAACTGTTACTCATGAAATAGTCTTGTCAAATACCATTCGGGCATCTAATTTTTCCTGTGAAAAAAATCGAAAAAACACAATGCTAAGTAATATTTTTTAACAAAATGCATTCGTGCAGGTGCAAAAATCCTCCTCTTCGACTCGGATTTTTGTTGCCACCAGCACTCATGCTTTTTGTTAAAATATTACTTAGCAACGTGTTTTTTCGATTTTTTTTCGGAAAAATTAGATGCCCTTATGATATTACTTACGATAATTTACTTGTCAATTATAAATAAAAAGATAATTATGCCAAAAATAATAGCAACGAATTCGAATGTAAAAGCCCTTTTGAGGGCAAAACTCCATTTTGCCAATTGCCACAATGGAAGAAAAAGTACATCGCCTTATGGACATTTTTGGAGTAAAAAAGTAACGAATTTGGTTTTATAAATATTACATCACACATTATTTTCACATTATTCACCATTGGACAGCATTTACGTTCACAAAAAAATTTAATTTCTATTATATAAATTCTTTTCAAAGCGAAGAATATTATCCGCTAGGAATACTTTCTCTTCTGGGCCGTAAAGCAAACTATATTTAACTACTTTTTTTATATGATTTTATTCATCCAAGCACCACCAAAGCCAAATTTTTAACTAAGAATTTCGACCACTCAACTTGACAACTGCACAATGTAACCTACAATAATTTATACATAACCACAATTAGATTTATAACTAGCTTAGTTTGTTTTAATCAATGCGACCAACTTGAAAACTGTATTAACCAACCTAAACCCTAATAAAAAATGGTTAGTAAATATTATACTTTTGGGGGCCTGTAATTTTTAGGAATGTTTTCCTAAGAAAATTCGCTGAATTTCAAATAAATGTAACAATGGTAGAATCGTGAAACACCCGAAACGCACACTTTTCGACTTAAAAATTGTTATCCTATATGCTTAACTGTACTAATTAATTTTACAATTTAGATATAACAACTAAAAACTAGCACTTTAATTGCTAAAATATTATATCAAAATAACTTAAAATTTATATTTTGGTTGAACAAAATTTATATTTTTGTTGAACAAACATGAAACGATGGAATGACCCTTATTGTTTATTGCATTTTCTTCAAAACAAATTCCAGATAATTGTATTTAAGATCTATATAAAATTAGTATTAAATCAATTAACAAATAATACCATTTTTGTTGTTTTTTACCACATGTATTCATAAAATACCTTGATGATATCTAATTATTATAAGTTAAATAAAATAATTTAATTGTTTACCAACACTTAAAACAAGTTTTTTATGGTAAAATATTTCAATAAAATACTTATTATCATATTATGATACAATACATATTTATAAAAACCAGTTAGTTCTAAAACCTTCCATTATTAATAAATAAATTTACCAATGAAATTAGATTAAATATACACTCAAAGAAGGCGTGAATCAATCTTTGAAACACAATTTTGATAAATCGTCATAAACATAAACAAACTTACCTTTCAGTTTGGTAAATAACGAATAGGTACACACAATTGTTAACTCGGTTCACTTAATCACAGCCACTGTCAGATTCGACTCGAGCACCTTGAAACAGACACCTGTGGATGACGTAAATTAAAAACATCAAAATTCGGTTCTTATATTCCTCCTTCGACAGTGTGTGCTCGTTCACATTGACCAATTCCAACTACAGTCTGCTGTGTCGATATCAATTTGGTCGAGCTGCGTAGATAGATTATTACAAATCGGGATTTTCGAGCGCATTTGTTAATTGCTGTTTAAATTTGACGATTTGTTGAGTGTTTTGAACATTGAATGAAGACGGAGTTTTAAGGTTTCAATTTGAAACTTTCAAAGGTTGTTTTTTGGGCGACGGTATAACGGTCTTCGGCCAGAGTCAGTGACCGATGAAAATATTCAAATTTTTTGCTAAAAACAAGATTTGATTCATGGGGAACTTTATCTGTTTCCAATAGAAAATTCTTCTTGAAGCAATGATCAAAGTTTAGTATATATACTCTCTGATTTCACTCTCAAGAGCATATTTTTGATGAAGTAGGTACAACAAATTTTTAAGGTTTTACTAGAAATATATTTTATGATAAAACAACTTCAAAAGACAATCTTGTAAGAGCTCCATCTCTCTTGTTTTGTCTGACATTAGAATCTATATCTACAGGATAAAAAGATTATTTCATTATTTATTCCAATTTCTTGTTACAATTGTTTTTAAAAACTGTTAGCTTGTAATGCTTAAATTATTTTCATTATTTTGAAGGCAATCGGTTTGTATTTTCTTAACTCGATTCTTTAAATATACTTATTTTGGCATATTCGTGGTCATCTAGGTACTTTACTTCTTTTATAAAAAATAGGACTATACATTGAGTTTTTACGTAAATTGATAACGTTATTTTGAAATTGGTCATGATTAATGAATCCGAAGTATTTAATTTGAAACCACTGATTTAATTTAAGGAAAGACAAAGGGGTGGCCCGTGGACCATTAAAACCCTGGCGACTTACACAGTTTAAATAAAAATAAAATACAAATCAAAACAATGTCATCCCAAGAATACTTTAGAAAAAGTTAAGTAACGACAATACGAAATCTAAATATCTAATTTTAAGATAAATGTAGTTTAGTGTATGTGATAAACCCGACAACACAATGCTGTTTATTGGAACCTAGTGTATGCCTAGTGTCCCCAAAATATTAAACCCAAACAATAAACAGTGATACAACAAAAATTATAACCAAAAATGACTCAAAATACAGATTTTAAAATGATGAAGACCCAATAAGCATAGACCAAAAATTCGAATAAAATAATGATGTGCAAAATTATAAGCAAAAATATATTAACAAAACCCAAAACAGGTAGTTGCTTATCTTGACTATCAAAGATTAGAATTTATAAAAGTTTACATACACTGAGAGAAATAGAATGTTAAATCAACACTTTTGGCGGTTAAATACAATCAATCTTTTCTGGGGGTTAAATTAACTATCGGGGAGTTAAACTAACTATCTACGAATGTTAAATTAACTAACTACAAATATTAAACTGCAACTTATAGTTAATTTAACATTCCTAGATAGTTAGTTTAACTCCCCGATAGTTAATTTAACCCCCAGAAAAGATTGATTGTATTTAACCGCCAAAAGTGTTGATTTAACATACTTTTTCTCTCAGTGTACCTAATTATAACAGGCGGTTTCAATCACAATAATAGTTCTTTATGTTATTAGGGTAAGAAGTAAGGCTTTTTGTGCTAAGCTCAAGGTTTGAAGGCCGACGCGTAGCGGAGGCCTACAATTGAGCGAAGCACAAAAAGGCACTTCTTGGCCGAATGGCATACAACATTTTATCTTCAAAGCACTTTATATAGGTCAATTTAATTCAACATCAAAGCGACCTAACCTCACTTTTTTAGAATCTCATTTATTTATTAGCCAAAGATTACATCACAATCCACACATGTGTGGATTGTGGATTACATTAAATGTACAATAATTATTATTGCTTTTAGAAGCAGTAATAGTTTGACAATACCTAGCTAAATGATTTAAGTAGAAATGGATTTTTGCTATTAGGTATATAGCGGAGGCCTACAATTGAGCGAAGCACAAAAAGACACTTCTTGGCCGAATGGCATACAACATTTTATCCTTTTTCTATGATTTTATCTTTAAAGCACTTTATATAGGTCAATTTAATTCAACATCAAAGCGGCCTAACCTCACTTTTTTAGAATCTCATTTATTTATTAGCTAAAGATTACATTAAATGTAAAATAATTATTATTGCTTTTAAAAGCAGTAATAGTTTGACAATACCTAGCAACATGATTTAAGTAGAAATTGATTTTTGCTATTACATTGAATTCAATTAATTGTTTAATAAATAGGTCGGTTTGTTTGGATTTTTATTTAAAAAATAGGTAGTTTGGAATGTTTTAGCTGTGTTTAACATTTAATTTCACTGAAAACTTAAAGCAAATTTAAACTTAATAATTTAAATCGTGTTTTATTATTCATATTTAATTTTGCAATAATTTAATAAAAAATATTAAACATTAACAGTAAAACAAACAAATTAGTGCTTATTATAAATAAATTAAACCAGTTTAGTACGTTAATTTCTTAGAAAAGGATTAATTTGTCAAAACAATACCCCTAGCGAAAAAAAATCGAACTAATTACTTGCCTCATAAAAATTTTTATCGGCCTAGGCCATAATAGTCCGGGAGGCAGTGAAGATTTTTATCTTCTTATTTTCCCAGTTTGTGAATGTCATTAAGTTTGTTTAAATGGTGACACAAAACGACAATTTGTGTGTCTGGCTAAAATTTTCGGATGGGTTCACTAGATGAGCCAAAAAGTCAAGTCCACTTATTTTTCCAGTCATAAATATTTCACATTAATTAAAGTGAGTCATTTTAATAATGTAAATAACAGTCTGGCACATCCCAAGTGAAGGAAAGTCAGTCTGGCTGAAAATTTGCGGAAGCAAAAATTTGACCGGTTTTTGAAATACGTAGCCCTTATTTTCCCATGCTTAAAATTTAACCCATTATTTGGTACTGTCATAAACTATAATCAAAATTAAGTCTGGCTGATTTATGAAATTGGCAAATTGTTCTGGCGGCATCTTGAAAATCGTAAGAATTACAAAAATTTTGCTCTTATTTTCCCGGATTTGAAAATTTGTCACATGATAAATAATACTATAATTTCGTAGAAAATACACGTCTGGCTGTTATTTTCAATCACGAAAGCCCCGCCAGAAGTTTTTTGGTGGCGGACGGACTGACATTTATTTTAGCCATATTTAAATTTTGCTTTACACAAATTATTTTCTTATCATACATTATGAAAAGTAAAAACATGTAGAGATGACAACAATCGCCTGTATAATTGAACATGCCGAATTTAGTGCGCCTGTGGAGGGTTGGACGAGTCTGGCAAGGTTTTCGGAGTGTTCCAAATTAGCCAGACTATATTTGCAGCTCTAATTATAATATAAACTATCATCTCACAAAATTTTTAGGACTGCGAAAATAAGGGCAATGGTTTTGATAATTTTTCCACCTGCCAGACATATTACCCATACTCACTGATTAGCCAGACTATTTTTTTTCTTAAGTTCACTATATCTCTCACTAATGGAATTATTTTTATCACTGGAAAAAAAAGTGCAATATATTTGTAACGCATTTTCCGCCTTAACCCATCGGAAAACCCCCCCCTAAATATATATAAATTTTGCTCAGATTAACAAACCCAATAATTGTATCGGTGTTTGCCGACTGGGAAAATATATTATAAGTACCGAAAATCTTCACTGCCTCCCGGACTATAACAAGTTATTTCTTTATCGAATGTTGACAACAATAAAGTTTAAATTATAGACCGCGTGGAGATAAATATACTTATATTATAATATATTAAGAGAGAGCATATTAAAGTGAGAATTATATCTCACAAACTTTTTACAGGAGTATATCGTATGACGATCAAGACCTTTCTGCCCTTCTTTCATAATTCAATTTTTACTTCTCGACCACTTAAGTAAGAATGTAAAACATAAACAAATCCAACTACCTACCATTTCTACGTTCATATACCAAGAAGTGAAACTCAATAATATTATTTTTATTGGGTTATTCAAATTTTTCTTGGTTAAAATGGCGCCAAATTTGAATTGCACTTTTTTATACCACAGGACCCTTACAGTCTATTTTCAAATTCCCTTTGAACATTTTGAAATGCTCAGCATTCTTCAACTATTCGTTCTCGCAGATCTTTAATAGAGTAAGTTTTGTAGACCATAGATTTTAAGTGACGCCATAAGAAAAAGTCCAATGGTGTCAGATCTAGAGATCTAGGAGGTCATTCTCTTCTGCCCAGAAATAAAGTTTCTTATACGAGATTAGGATTTTTATTGTTCCGATAACGACAATTTATATAAAATTATTTTTTAGTTAAGTAATTAAAAATTAAAGTCATTTTTTTCTTATTTTGTATAACTCGTTTTAAACAGGTTTTGTGGGAGATTTTTTTGGAATTTTTTAAAAATATAAGTATACGTTTTTTTTATATTTGCCACATTTATTTATAAATTACAAAAAAATACTACAAGTACTAAATTATAATGATATTTCTTCTCATAAGCTCGCTGAATATCCACTCCTTGAAGATTGGAACATTAGTGTAAGCTCCAGGAACGTTTTCCTGGTTGCAGCCCTTGCCCCACGATACGATACCAACTTGATAGTACACATCGTCCTTTTCACACATCAAAGGACTTCCACCGTCTCCCTTGCAAACGTCCTTGCCCTTTTCACCTCCTGCGCAAATGAAGGAGTCATGCAGGACGAAATAGGAACCCAGTTCTGTGTTGCTTCTTAGCATGGTTTCGCATGTATCTCGTGGGATATATGGCAGTTCTACTTTATGCATCTTCAAAGGATCTGAAAGATATTTAAAAGTGGATTAAAAATTATAAAAAACTAATCTTTATTTCTGAAACAAAAAAAAGGATGTTGCAGATATTCGCATCCACATCCGCAATTGCGCATAAATTTTAGCATCCACATCTACAATATTCAGAGCTGTCAGAAAAAAGTATCTTAGGTACTTTAGAGTAACTTAGTTACTTTAAAGTATCTAAGTTACTGTATCTTAGTTCCTTTATTTTTTTAACAAAAAGTATCTATTATCTTAGATACTTTTTAAAAGGAACTGTATCTTGTAACTTAAAAAAAGTATCTTAGATACCGAAAAGTATCTTAGATACCAAAAAGTAACTTAGATACCAAAAAGTAACTTAGATACCAAAAAGTATCTAAGATACCACAAGAAAAGTTCCTTTAGTCAAGTTGTTCGAAACGGCCGCGGCCATCGAAGTTATTATAATAAGTATACTGGCGACTTCAGCGACTGGCGCCAATCGACTGGCGGTGATTTTTGTTATACCTACTTAATTTTTATTCACCTATACTTATTTTATAATCTGTGACTTCGCCACCCGCTCTGTAGAAGGGTGTTTCCGTTCGTTGCGACTTGAATTTATAGTGGTAAGTCTGAAATAAGTTAGGTTAGGTAAGTACTTGCACTTGCTTCTTTATGATGTACTGATGTAGGATATTGGTTGTTACATTGTACCGTACATTCTATAATGTTCAATGTATGATTTCCAATTTAAATTTTAAAAAAATGTTAAAAAAGGTTAAATGAAAAGTGTGAGATAATTTTTTTATTTTTATAATTAAGTGGTGTTTAATTAACGATTTTATCTCTTTTTATTTTTAAGATATTTTAAAAGTGCCTAAGTTAGACACTTTTTGCATTAGACCCGTTTTAATCAACTAGATTTTATTAAAAAAAATTGTTAAAAAAGTAAGCTTAAAATTATTTGAAAAATTAGGGTGGGGTTGGAACGAATTTTTGTTGGACGGTTTATACGAAACTTATTACATAATATACAAAGTAACTAAAAAAGTATCTTATTAAGTATCTTAAAAAGTAACTTAAGATAAGTATTTAAGTTCCTTTTTTTTAAAGAGTAACTAGATACCCAAAGTAACTTCGGATACTTTTTCAAAAAGTAACTTAGCTTGTATCTAGATACTTTTTAAAAGTATCTTTGACAGCTCTGACAATATTTAATGCGGATGTTGTTAAATGTGGACTTGCTTTTTAGAAACACAATAAGTCTTTAAGAATGTCATAATAATAATTAGAATTTTAAACTATAGTTTTTTAAAATGCCATAACTTAAAAAATTGACAATAATTATTTAAAAATATCAAAATAATAATTAAGAATATCAAAATTGTTTTTTAGAAATGTCAAAATAATAATTAATATGTCATACTTGGTTTTTAGAAACGTCAAACATTTAAAAAATTGCCAAAAAATCTTTAAGAATGTAAAAATAATAAATAAAAATGTCAAATTTGGTTTTTAAGGATGCCAAACACTTAAACAATTTCCAATAAATCTTAAATAATGTCAAAATAATAATTAAGAATGTCAAACTTGGTGTTTAGAAATGCCAAATACTACTATATCCAATAAATCTTTAAGAATGTCAAAATAATAATTAGAATGTCAAACTATAGTTTTTAAAATGCCAACACTTAAAAAATTGCCAATAAATCTTTAAGAATGTCATAATAATAATTAGAATGTCAAACTATGGTTTTTAAAATGCCAAAACTTAAAAAATTGCCAAAAATTATTTAAGATTGTCAAAATAATAATTAGAAATATCAAAATTGGTTTTTAGAAATGCCAAAAAGTTAAAAAATTGCCAATAAATCTTTAAGAATGTCAAAATAATAATTAAAATGTCATACTTGGTTTTTAGAAGTGCCAAACACTTATAAAATTGACAAAAAATCTTTAAGAATGTCAAACTTGGTGTTTACAAATGCCAAATACTTAAAAATTGCCAATAAATCTTTAAGAATGTCATAATAATAATTAGAATGTCAAACTATAGTTTTTAAAATGCTAACACTTCAAAAATTGCCAATTAATCTTTAAGAATGCCATAATAATAATTAGAATGTCAAACTATAGTTTTTAAAATGACAAAAAGTCAAATAATTGCCAAAAAATTTTTTAAGAATGTTAAAATAATAAATAAAAATATCAAATTTGGTTTTTAAGGATGCCAAACACTTAAATAATTTCCAATAAATCTTAAATAATGTCAAAATAATAATAAGAATGTCAAACTAAGGTTTTTAAAATGCCAAAACTTAAAAAATTGCCAATAATTATTTAAGAATGTCAAAATAATAATTATAAATATCAAAATTGGTTTTTAGAAATGCCAAAAAGTTAAAAAATTACCAATAAATCTTTAAGAATGTCAAAATAATAATTAAAATGTCATAGGTACCTACTTGGTTTTTAGAAATGCCAAACACTTAAAAAATTGCCAAAAAGTCTTTAAGAATGTAAAAATAATAATTAAAAATGTCGAATTTGGTTTTTAAGGATGTCAAACACTTAAACAAGTTCCAAATATTTCAAACTTGGTGTTTAGATATGCCAAATGTCTAATAAATCTTTAAGAATGTAATAATTAAAAAGTCAAAATTGATTTTCAGAAAAGCCAAACACTTAAAAAATTGCCAATTAATCTTTAAAAATGCTAAACTTGGTTTTGAAATGCCGAACACTTAAACAAGTTCCAATAATTTTTTAAGAATATCAAAATAATAATTAATAATGTTAAGATCATAATTAAGATTGTTAAACACTTAAAAAAATGCCAATAAATCTTTAGGAATGTCAAAATACTAATTAATAATATCAAACTTGGTTTTAAGAAATGTCAAATACTTAAAAAATGTCTAATAAATCTTTAAAAATGTAATGATTAAAAATGTCAAAATTGATTTTTAGAAAAGCCAACCACTTAAAAAATTGCCAATTAATCTTTAAAAATGCCAAACTTGGTTTTGAAATGCCGAAAGTTCCAATAAATCTTTAAGAATATCAAAATAATATATCAAAACAAGTTCCAATAAATCTTTAAGAATGTCAAAATAATAATTAAGAATGTTAAAATAATAATTAAGAATGTTAAAATAACAATTAAGAATATCAAACACTTTTAAAAAATTCCAATAAATCATTAATAATGTTAAACCTGGTGTTTAGAAATGCCAAATTCTTTAAAAATTTACAATAAATTTTAAAATAATAATTAAGAATGTCAAAATAATAATAAATAATATCAAACTTGTTTTTTAGAAATGCCAAACACTTCCAAACAATTTCCAATTAATCTTTACGAATGTCAAAGTTGGTTTTGAAGTGCCAAACACTTAAACAAGTTCCAATAAATCTTTAAGAATGTTAAAATAATAATTTCCCAAACAACCAGTTTACATTTTATGTACGTACATAGTACGTCGACCTTCGACGTACCTTACATTTTACGTACGTACTGCGATATCTTATGTACAGGGTGGTCCACGTAAGGTGACCCATATACTTATCTCAGAAACTACTAGAGTCACAAAAAAATTTTAAGAAACAAATATTCACGAAGTAAAATATATTTTTAAAATATTATATTTTCATTTATACAGGGTGTTCGGTTTTCCTTGGGACGATACCAACTTTCTTATTTTCAAAGGAACACCCTGTATTTTTTTGCATTTTTGGATTCTTCCCACTCTTTTAGGTATAATTTGTAAATATATTAAATAAGAAAATGTTAATACTTTTTGAGTAAAATTAAGATTTATTAAAATTTCTCTAAATGTAGACACTCGCTAAAAGTTAAAAATAACCAACTAAAAGTTATTATTTTTTATATTATGTAGTATCCATCTCTTTAATAATAAGTAAGCTATAAGTTAATTATTATATTTTTTGGAAAATATCATACAGGGTGTTTTCTATGTCCCGTTGAAAATAGCGATTTTAAAAGTTTAAAATCTTGTTTTTATTCAATGGAACACCCTATATATTTTTGCATAATTGGATAGAATAAGTAATTACCTTTCATTTTATATATATATATGTCCTATACACAATTAGTAGCTTTTTTTCAATTAGGTACCTTAGTTAAATTTTCATTATTCAAAGAAAAGACCCTGTATAATATTTTCCAAAAAATAAATTAATTAACTTATAGCTTACTTATTATTAAAGAGATGAATGCTACATAATATAAAAAATACTAACTTTTAGTTGGTTATTTTTAACTTTTAGCGAATGTCTACATTTAGAGAAATTTTAATAAATCCTCATTTTACTCAAAAAGTATTAACATTTTCTTAATTAATATATTTACAAAGTATACCTAAAAGAGTGTGTAGAATCCAAAAATGCAAAAAAATACAGGGTGTTCCATTGAAAATAAGAAAGTTGGTATCGTCCCAAGGCAAATCGAACACCCTGTATAAATGAAAATATTATATTTTAATAATATTTTTTACTTCATGAATATTTGTTTCTTACAAATTTTTTGTGACTCCAGTAGTTTCTGAGATAAGTCACCTTACGTGGACCACCCTGTACATCCTAAGTACGTACTAAGTACGTCCAAATTCCACTCGATAATACGTTTAATGTATGTACATTTACCAAGTATTAAGAACGTAGTTTTTACATAAATAAATCGTACTTTTATTCCGTACACAGAAAAAAGCTTTAGTTAGCCCAACTATTATTTGTTTGATTTAACTAAATACATTTGGCTGATTTGACTAAATAAAAAAAAACATTTTTTTAAACCATTTTTTTATATTTTTTAAGAAACATGAAATTCCTTGACGCATTACTAGTACACTACCAGTGGTATTAGTTCCAGAATATTGAACCTTCAGCTCTCTCTAGAGGAAATGTTTTAGTGCGTTCACCTACTTGAAATTGACAGCTGTTTCCACCTATTTAAGGTCTCTTTAGTATCAACCTACTTGTATTGTCACACCAAAGTAAAGGACTATCTCAGCCTATATACTCTTCATGTAAGTCAACAGAGGCGAGATTTAAGAACATCACGTGATCCACACCGCCTTTGCCGCGATCGGTACACACTATGCAACCAGGAATACTTTAGAAGTATTTTGTACATACCTTCTTTGTACATACTATGTACGTACTGAGGACGACTGAACCTTACATTTTATGTACATAATATATAGTACATACTTATTTTTTTGGTCTTAAGACGTAAGTACGTAAATATAACCAAAAATGTACATTTTTAAAACGTACTGTGTTGTTTGCGTTAGATTGTCAAGCACTTAAAAAAATGCCAATATATCTTTAGGAATGTCAAAATATTAATTAAGAATGTCAAACTTGGTTTTGTAATGCCAATAACACTTTAAGAATGTTAAAATAATAATTAAGAATGTCAAAATAATATTAAATAATATCAAACTTGGTTTTGAGAAATGCCAAACACTTCCAAACAATTTCCGATTAATCTTTACGAATGTCAAAGTTGGTTTTGAAGTGCCAAACACTTAAACAAGTTCCAATAAATCTTTAAGAATGTTAAAATAATAATTTAGATTGTCAAGCACTTAAAAAAATGCCAATAAATCTTTAGGAATGTCAAAATACTAACTAATAATAACAAATTTGGTTATAAGAAATGTCAAACACTTAAAAAATTAATATTTAAGAATGTCAAAATATTAATTAAGAATGTCAAACTTGGTTTTGTAATGCCACACACGTTCCAATAAATCTTTAAGAATGTCAAAATACTAATCAATAATAACTTAGTTTTGAAGTGCCAAACACTTAAACAAGTTCTAATAAATCTAGAATTAAAGAATGTTAAAATATTAATTAAGAATATTTAGATAACAATTAAGAAAGTCAAAATCTTTAAGAACGTTTAGAAATGCCAAATTCTTTAAAAATTTACAATAAATCTTTAAGAATGTCAAAATAATAATTAAAAATGTTAAACTTGGTTTTTAGGAATGGCAAACACTTAAACAATTTCCAAGTAACATTTAAGAATGAGAACACTTAAAAAAATTCTAATAAATCTTAAAGAATGTCAAAATATTAGTTAAAAATGTCAAACTTGGTTTTTATAAATGCAAAACACTTAAAATATTGCCAATAAATATTATATTTCTTTAAAAAAAAAAAACGAACGCAACCGAGGATGTAAGCCCTAAAATACGCATCCGCAGATGTCAAAAATTCTCAACATCCCTGTTACGAACTGATTTTTACAACAAAATTAAATACGAGGTGTGTTCAGAAAATATCGGAAATTTTCGTTTTTTAAAACAAATATTTATTTATTCGTCTACATTAATGTCGCATTGGATATTATGCACATGTTCCAGCCTTCTTCCAATACTCGAAACACTTCTAAAACTCGATCTTTGGGATAGCCTTTAGTTCTTTCAGCGATGCGCTTTTAATGTCATCTATGCTTACAAAACGACGGCCCTTTAAGGTTCTCTTTATTTTTGGGAATAGGAAAAAGTCAGGCAGAGGCATGTCTGGCGAATATGGAGGCTGGGGCATCATTACAGTATTGTTTTTGGCCAAAAATTTTGTTCAAAATTTAACAATTTTAGAACAAATTTTGCTGCCACGCGTTTCATACCCAAAACATTCGAAAAAATTTCATGGGATGAGCCATTCGTTATACCAACATCATCAGCGACTTCTCTGATGGTTTATAACCATTTCTTCCACTTTTTCCATGTTTTTATCGGTTCTTAATGTGCTTGTGCGTTCGGGGCGTTCGTCATCTTCAACGTCTTCACGGCCATCTTGGAAACTCTTATACCACTTGTAAACTCTTGTTTTACTTATAGTATACTCACTATAGGCCTTTGTTAACGTTTCACAGAATTTATTTAATTTTTTAAGCAAAATTGGATCCATTTCTTTTAACGAACGAAAAATCGCCGAGCTCATAAAACACGGCTGCCACAGACAAAGTAAACAATGAAAACAGCAAAGTTTTTATCATACTTCGGGGGCATGTATACCAACATAATAAAGAAAATTTTATGTCAACTGGACCCTCCGAACCCGGAAAATTTAACAATTCCTGTTATTTTCTGAACACACCTCGTACCTAATCATGGTTTTAAAATTAATAAAATAAGTTGAGAAAATACGAACAATAATAATGATAATTATGATCCTAAAAATATTAAAACTTTTACACTAAGCAATACCTGTTCATATAACTTTTTTGTTAGGGCTCCTCCATAAATCTCCTGACGCCGAAAGGGGGAATGAAGGGTTTAAAGGACCGTCACGATTTGTCACGCCCGAGGGAAAGTTTTTTTTAAACGTCAGGGGTACAGTAAATCGTGAAAAATTACTTATTTGTTTCATTTCTTTAAATCGTCAATTTTGAACATTTTTAGCGTCACGAGATTTATGGACTGCACCTTAAATATACTAACTATTTTTGTTCCATCCCGCTGTTTCGCACCTGGTGTTCTCAAAACTGAGACCTTCAGGTGGTAAACAAATAACGTTCATTCGATTACTCAAAACATAAGGTTCGTCCAAAAGTAAAAGGCCTATGTCGTAACGAAGAGTACCATCGGTGGAATACTGCGGGTGACTTATGAACTCGACCACCCTTCTCTCTTCGTCATTCGTGGACCTCAGATCAACTCCTCCTCCAGCAAATACTCTCAAGTTTGACTTATTTTTTACTCTAAAAAAAGAGTTTAAGGATGATTTAAAAAGAACATCAGAATTGTACTAACCTGTAAACATAGTGAGCTGCTGTCAAAACGACATTAGGATGGATCAAGGTGCCGGTGCAAACAAATTTTGTTTTGGCAAATATAACGGCCATCCATGCGAATTCGTTTTCTTCAGCCTCATAGTTTTGGGTTTTGGTTGGTCGTACGGTTTTTCGTCCGCATTTGGAAAAATCGTGCTGGGAATAAGTGGTTTTACTTGTTTCAGTAGTGGTGTTGTTACTTAGAACTTCGATTATCGTGGATGGTAAAAAACAGCAATATTGCGTCGTTCCCTCATCATCATCGGAACATATTATTTTTTGGGGTCTTACAGAAGACCTAAAATTAATTAATAATTATTCAAAAATACGAACAAGTTTGCCTAGAAAAGTTTTGAGATAAGTATTTAATACTTATCTCAAAACTATACTTAGTATTATAGTCTCGGCCTTTTTGACCTAAAATGAATGTACACCAAATTACAGTTCAAAAGGTATTTAAGTCGCTGATATAAGAAGATAAATACAGTAAAATTCGATAAAATATTTTGCATTGAAAATTAGAGCCATATCTCAACTTTCAAACTTGGTTAAATATAAAAAAAACTAGTAGAACACAGGCCTAGGGTTTTAGTGTAGAAAAACAGGAAAATTGGGAAAAAAACCTGTTTTTTCCAAGGTCTTGGAAAAATTGGCTTCTTTAAGAAATTTTTTTTATTATTTTGGAAAATATACAAATTTGAACAAAAGTAGGAATCAACATCTTAACATTAATTTAATTTAAAAAAAAAATACTTTACACAGAAAAAAATCTAACATAGTACCAAGAACAGTGCTGTCATTGAATGCATTAAAATTGAAGCAATCTAAATTGTTATTTGCTCAATTAATTACTATTAAACCAAAATAGGGAAATATTTTGCCTAAATGTCAAAGAATTTATTGCGTTAAATGTATACATAGTATACATACAATAGTAACGTTATTAAATAAATATCAATATATATATATATATATATATATATATATATAGCGATAACTTTAACTTAAAACTTTAATTTAAAAACAGTAAACGATTATAAACCAAGTGCTAACTACCTATTGGTATTATAGGAACTGTTATTCAGGAATACGGATTACAAGATATCTTATCTAGCATAGCATGAATGGGTGAGCCATTAAACCAATGGGATATCCCATTGGTTTAATGGCTCACCCATTCATGCTATGCTAGAGTTTTTTCTGTGTATTACAGAAAAAAATTGATTTAAAATAAACGTAAACGTTAAATAAACGTAAACGTTAATATATATGGGTCATTCCATATCAAATCACCAAATTTTAAAAATTGTAATTTTTTGATTCAGTTAAATTTTTGATGTTTCTGTACGTTTCAAAAAACGCCTAACCCTAAATTTTGAGCCCTTAACTTTCAAAAGCCCCGAAGATATGAATTTTTGAAAATCACAAAAAAAATAACGAAACGTTAATTTATCGTAACCCCATTTGACCGGTGGCTATTTTCTTCGTTTTGAAATGCTTTTTTTGAAAAAAAAAAATATAAAAACAAAAATTTTTTTCACTGTTTTTTCTTAACTTTTAAATTAAATTTTGACTTTTTTTGAAGAGCGACATTTTTGATCTTCGATTTTTTAAGCCACTTTTTAGTTTTTTTTAACCACAGCCTGCGTTTTAAAATCGGTTGATTGCAAGTATATTTTCACAATTACAGTCGATAATGAGAAACATTGTAAATACGGATATATTCCACAGAAGAAATACAAAAACTAAAAATAATACAAAAATGTATAACAAAGCGCCAGAAAAAAATTAAAATATTATGATTATTATAAAAATTAAAAGAATAAGCGCTGAATTATTATTTTTTCCAATATTAAACGTGAATTTATGATATTTTGATAGAAAACATTAATGAAACTCATAAAAAAATTAAGAATTTTCAAAAAAATTAAATTTATGGTTAAAAAAATACTAAAAAGTGGCTTAAAAAATCGAAGATATTTGGATCCCACTTTTATTATGGGCCTAAAAAAATTGTTTTACAGTCTAGTATAACATATATATATTTTTTTTAATTAAAAATGTCGCTTTTCAAAAAAAGTCAAGTTAAGAAAATACAGTGAAAAAAATGTATACAGGGTGGCCGATTTATCTGAAGACATTGAAATATATCGAAAACTACGCATCGGATCAAAAAAAGTTTTGAATAAAATTTGTTCGCCTGGAAGGGGGACATCCAATGATACCAAAGTCGACCCCTCACCACCACCCCATGGGGTTGGGGTGGGGGAAACTTTAATATTCTAAATAGGAACCCCCATTTTTTATTGCAGATTCGGATTTACTATTAAAAAATAAGTAACTTTTATGGAAAAACTTTTTTAAATTCCTGATAGATGGCGCTGTAATCGCAAGAAACCCGATTTTTGGGAATATCTTAAAAAATTACACATCGGATCGAAAAAAAGAAAAACTTGTTTAATTTTTGGATTTTATTCGTATATCAATAAGTTAACATCTATTTTTAAAATTACCCAAGAATGGGAAATCCGAATCTGCAATTTTTCAAGATATTCCCAAAAATCGCGATTACAGCGCCATCTATCAGGAATTTAAAAAAAGTTTTTCCATAAAAGTTACTTATTTTTTAATAGTAAATCCGAATCTGCAATAAAAAATGGGGGTTCCTATTTAGAATATTAAAGTTGCCCCCACCCCCACCCCATGGCCATGGGAACATGGGAACATCAAAAGGAATTAATTAATTTAATTTATTTTGAATTCCCTTACAATTCTCGTATACACTAATTATATTTTTTAATGGGAAATCCGAATCTGCAATTTTTCAAGATATTCCCAAAAATCGCGATTACAGCGCCATCTATCAGGAATTTAAAAAAAGTTTTTCCATAAAAGTTACTTATTTTTTAATAGTAAATCCGAATCTGCAATAAAAAATGGGGGTTCCTATTTAGAATATTAAAGTTGCCCCCACCCCCACCCCATGGGGTGGTGGTGAGGGGTCGACTTTGGTATCATTGGATGTCCCCCTTCCAGGCGAACAAATTTTATTCAAAACTTCAGATAAATCGGCCACCCTGTATATATACTGTCGGTGGGGCCTTTTTGCAAAAAGTGGTCCATTACAAATATTAAATTACAAAATATTGAATGATTTATTAAGTTAAATTACAAAATTATAATTTTATAAATTGAAGTCAAATAAAACAAACTTTTTTATAGACATAATAATTAAATACTAATTTATTCGTATAGTTTTTTAAACTTTTAAATTATATTTGACTATTTTTGTAGGTTTTGAAGTTGGAAAAACCCTCCATTATCGTGCAAATGTTTCCATGACACCTTTTAAATACGTTGACAAATGTGGCTTTAGTCACGGGCTGAAGTTAGTTTTTAGTTGTCAAATGTCATACAATCGTTAAAATAAAGTGCCTTTCTTGTAAAATAATTCTAAATGTGAAAATTATTTTATTACCTGACTAAAGCGCCGTAAAGCCACAACTTGTCAAAGTGTATTTAATAGTTCACTTATAACACTAAAGTGTTATGGAAACATGTACGATAATAAGCGTATTAAAGGTGGGAGTAGTAAAAATATTTTACGTACACAATTCAGACTATTGTTAAAAATGTTCAAATATGACTAAAATCGACACTGCAGTCAATATAATGGCGATATTTTTTAAAAAATAAAGGAAGATAAACACAATATTTACAGCTGAAAACAAATTAAAATATACTACTAGATACCTCACACCTATAAGATTTTTCCCACTGGTGTTGATCAAATTGTTTTCGTCACATTGAAAATACTTGACACATCTGCATTTGTTCTTCGATTCGATTTCTTCATTCTCACCGACCGATCGCGATATCCTTATAACTTTATTTGACGAAGTCAGAACCAGACAATTAAAAAAACCGAGCAGTATCAACTTAAACATGTCGACAATTGCAAAATTCTTTGACATACGAGGCAGAAACAAGGATTCATAATTAAATTATTTCAAACACAAGGTCAAATTCGATTTAACGTGATGCATCTTAATTATGTCGATATTTGTCGCGTATTGTTCAAATTACTCGATAGCTTGTGAGATATCTCAAAGGTACCTACGATACTTATAACACAAAATAACGGTACAGTTAATTTATTTATTTATTTATCGAGTGGAGGTATAGTCATAGAAATAAATCCCTATAGTAGCACAATTATTAAATAACTAGCATTCAAAGTAAATTAACCAAAATAGGTACAATAACGTTTTTTTAAACTTGTGTTTTAACAAATTACTTAGTTGTATTCAACCATTATCATTTTTTTAAGGTTACTATGAATTAAAAAATACCCTTAAGGTAAATTCAAAGATTATTTTTTAGTATAATATTAACTAATAAAATAATATAAAATATTATTAATATTAAGTAATAAAATAAACCTTTTGTTAATATTACTAACTAATAAACTGCGCACCACTCAATGTGTCGCGACCAAAAATTTCGTCCTATTTCAAAACCACATAACTTTTTTGTTTCTTAAACGATTTTATTTTGGTTTGTGATGTCTGCTAGCCCCATTCTCTGGCAATTCATGCTATAGATATGAAGCTCACGGTTCTTGAAGTAAATTTCCTACAGGGTGATATGTAAAACGGTGAAAAATTTCAATAACCTCATCCAAGCCCCGTTTGTAAAGAAAATATTTTTTTTTCGTTTTTACTTTGAAATAATGAAGTATTTTGTCTTACCTTGAAAAGTTTTTCAAATTTTTCGAATTGGAATATTAGCAACAAAAATATTTTTTTTCAAAAGATTACATTTTATACTTTTCTGGCAATACACTCAGCCTTTTTAAGAACAAAAAGATAAGATGGTGTAAGATTGTTTCTTGAATAATTCTGAACAAGCGACAAGCAACAAACTTCCATTATTTTCAGAGGAACCTAAGCAAATACCACTTTTTCAAAATGACATTTTGGTGAAAATTTGCGTAAACTACACCTGCTTAACGAAACGGGAGGCAAGGGTGGCTTTTGAGGTGGAGGAGTGACTGTTTGGGGTGAAATGGCGATGAATGGAAAGAGTGAATGGGTAATGAATGCTTAGAGATATAGAGATTTGTGTGTAAGTGATATCGTGGTTCTTTATTCTCAAAATGTTGCCAATAATTTGGTGTTGTTGGACGACAATGCCCGTCCGCATTGCGCCAATGAGTATTTAAGGGACCACGATATTAAGAGAATGAATTGGCCACCTTTGTCTCCGGATATGAATCCTATTCACCTTTTAGTTAAATGCAGATTCCATTTAAATAAAAAAATATATTTTTTTTATCTGTTATTTCCAACTATTATAAAAATTAAAGTGCTATTTAAATTCAAATGAAAGTAAAATGCAAGCACCATTTAAATGATACCCAGCTGCTTATGTTCTTGATAAATTAATTAATTTTAATTCCAAGACTATCAGCAAGGACGCATAAAACATTTTATTTACCACCATGCAAAACAAACATTATGCTTAGATCCCCACTATATATTATTTGTGATAATTTTAATAAAGTGTCTGAAAAATGTGATATTAATTTTGACAGTATTAATTTTATTATTAACTGCGTCAAAGAACATTTAATTTAATAATTTAGTGAATAATTGTTTTTTTTTGTTGCTATTGGAATTTATATTTTGTTAATAAGAGCCTTTAGTAATTAAGTTTGGATTCCTAAATTTACATTAGAAAATTTATTTTACTATTATATTAATTTTTATTTGTAAATTTTCCTGTAATTGGATTGTTAATCTGTTGGGAAATAAAGATTATTATTATTATTATTATTATTATTATTATTATTATTATTATTATTATTATTATTATTATTATTATTATTATTATTATTATTATTATTATTATTATTATTATTAAAAGTTCACATGTTATTTAAATTCATGTGTAAGAAAAATTCAACTTTGTTTTAAATGATTCCTTAGATATCTTACATGTGGGATAAAAAGTATAGATTCCTAGGACTATTTATTTGAAATATTGATTTTCCTACATTCGATTTTTATACTTTAAATTTATGTTCGAATGCTTAATATGAAGGTTAAAAATGGCCTTCTTGAACTAATAATTGAAAATAATTCATTAAAATTTTAGTTACGCCACCTATTACCTAAGAATAGCGTCCTCAACATGACCTGTTTAATCCAGTTTGGAATGTTAAAAGGAATTCGCAATCAGGGTTTCCCTACCAATGACTCACAGGTGCATTTATTCTTCAATTTTAACTTTAAGAAGTTTGCCTTCTTCATATTGCATTAACAAAATTGCTTCTTATTTATAAATGAACCCCACTCCTTTTTAATTTGTTCACAAACATTTATTTTTAAAATTTGTTGTTGATAAACTTTAACCTGTTAGTAGTGTTTAACATTAAACCAAATACAATGCATCGTACTGCTGTAAGCATTATTTTGGTTCTTTATGTACTTCAACAAGCGCATTGCCAAAATTTAACGACAGAACAAATTGAAAACCAGAACAACTGCAAGTGTGTTTTGTACTATTTATGTGACGATGACAACAACATAAACATTAATGGTGAAGGTCTCTTGGACTTCAGGTAAAATGTTTATAATTATGAAATTGTATACATGAATATTTGTTGTTTTAACATAGGTAATCAAGATTTTATTTTTATCGCAAGCGGGTCCCAAATATCACAACTGGTTAAATTAACGTTTTGCCTGGTTAATTAATTTAAATAATATTGTACTACAACGTTATTTCATAATATTAGTTAAATTTAACTTGTTGGTTAATGTACGAGGTGTGTTCAGAAAATATCGTAAATTTTCGTTTTTTGAAACAAATATTTATTTATTCGTCTATATTAATGATGTCGCCTTCAAAATAGTCCCCATTGGATATTATGCACATCTGCCAGTTCTTCTTACAATACTCGAAACACTTCTAAAACTCGATCTTTGGGATAGCCTTTAGTTCTTTTAGCGAAGCGCTTTTAATGTCATCTATGCTTGCAAAACGACGGCCCTTTAAGGTTCTCTTTATTTTTGGGAATAGGAAAAAGTCAGACAGAGGCATGTCTGGCGAATATGGAAGCTGGGGCATCATTACAGTATTGTTTTTGGCCAAAAATTTTGTTCAAAATTTAACAATTTTAGAACAAATTTTGCTGCCACGCGTTTCATACCCAAAACATTCGAAAAAATTTAATGGGATGAGCCAATCGATATACCAATATCATCAGCGACTTCTCTGATGGTTTATAACCATTTCTTCCACTTTTTCCATGTTTTTATCGGTTGTTAATGTGCTTGTGCGTTCGGGGCGTTCGTCATCTTCAACGTCTTCACGGCCATCTTGGAAACTCTTATACCACTTGTAAACTCTTGTTTTACTTATAGAAGACTCACTATAGGCCTTTGTTAACATTTCACAGAATTTATTTCATTATTTAAGCAAAATTGGATACAAATTATTTAATCCATTTCTTTTAACGAACGAAAAATCGCCGATCTCATAAAACACGTCTAACCTTAGCGGCTGCCACAGACAAAGTAAACAATGAAAACAGCTAAAATTTTATCATACTTCGGGGGCATGTATACCAACATAATAAAGAAAATTTTATGACAACCGGACCCTCCGAACCCGCGAAATTTAACAATTCCCGTTATTTTCTGAACACACCTCGTACGTTTTGGTTAAAAAGAAGGTAATATTTGGTAGTAATTTTTTAACTCTTCTATTTGGTATTAATTTTTTAATTCTTCTATAGTTGTAGAAATTCTATATTGTTTTAAATTATTTCTTTTAGGCTCCATATTTACACAAAACTCACAACCTATAAATTTATATATAAATCTGTATTGAGACTAATTTTTCTATGCAGGTAACAATAAAAACTGCAAAACCATCTCCTTTTTAACCAGTTTATTAATTAACGTTAATTTACCAGCGAGTTAAAATATATTTGGTAAAATATAACTTGTTGGTTAAAAAAATATATCCAAATTAACCTAAGCTGTGGTTAATTTACCAAAAATTTATATACAAAAGTTAAACTAAACAAAATATATAAAAAAATAATTAGTCTTAACCATTTTCAAAGGTTAAAATTAGAAGTTAATATATCGTTATGTAACTTTTAAAATAACCAACTTTTTAACTTTTAAGTAATACTACTAACTAACCAGTTCCCATACTACAATGAAGGTTCGAAAATATTACAGGAATATGCCCTATCATCTAGGAATAATCCGCTTCATTCCATAGAATGATCCTCTAAAACTTCCAAGCACCATCTAAGAACATTCTCAGTGAATATTAATTGGGAATATTTCATAGAATGATCCTCTACAACTTCCAAGCAACATCTTGGAACATTTCCAGTGAATGTTCTTTATATTCAAAAAAAAAATAATAATTTTCTCTCTCTACAAATTGGCTATATTCCTGGAATATGCGCTATCATCTATTCATTGGGAATATTCCATAGAATGATCCTCTAAAACTTCCAAACACCATCTAAGAACATTCCCAGTGAATATTCATTAGTTTAGTTGCAATACGGTGAGAGACCGTTGCTTACGCACGCTTGATAACTATATATAGCGATAGGTTAATAATATCAGTTGGAGATGTGCGTCTGTGATGGCACAGCTAAACAATGATTAGAGTTGGACTGATCTACTCCTAAGTTCCTGGGTATAAGTGGCCATAACGGCTAGGAGTAATCCCGAAATTATATTAAGGTACATTTTCCTAACAATAACTTCATAATTACTGGGTTAACCAAAAAGCGGACATGTGATTACCCTGGAATATTCCTGGAAATATTCTGGTACGCTTGGAATAATCATGTGCAGGGAATGGGATTTTGCGGTCTGGGTTGTGCTACTTGGGCTATGTCACAATGTCAATAATAATAGAACCGTTGAGTAAAGAGTCTTCAATCAGCGATATAAACGAATTATTCAATTTAATTAAATCTATCTCTTGACCTTAGCGTCTTTTATTTTCTTCTTCTTTTATTTATTTCCATAAAACCTAAATTCTATGTGTTCTATTAAAGCTTTTATTTTTCTACAGTGCCTCATTTCGAGTTAGATTCTAATAAAAATAACTATAATTGTTTTTACACTACTACACTGTACAATTTTAGGTTGGGAAACGATCTGAAAAGAATTACATGCCCCACCGAGAGCACCCCACAGTATTGCTGTTACTTACCTGGAACCACCAGAGAAGTAACAGAAAAACCCACAGAAAGATCTGTGCCAACTGCAGCTCCAACAAAAAGTCCGGACACAAAAACACCGGAATTAAAAACAATCACAAAAAACGTCACATGTGGAATACAAAGACCAAGCATAGATGTTCGTATTCTCAACGGTGAGTTTTCATCAACGATCCCCGGGGAATTCCCATGGATGGCCGCTATTTACAGAAAGAACAAGTTCAAGTGCACAGGCATCTTGATTCATCCACAAGTAGTTTTGACCGTGGCCCACTACGTTATGAAGTAAGTGGTTAAATTTGGAGTGAGCTGGTTTTTCGATAACTTGATTTAGCATATTGTTTCCATTTTAGATCCTTTACTCGCGATTATAAAGTGGTTGCAAATGGCGAAACACTCCTTGGTTTACAAACAGACAGCGAACACGAACGATCAGTGATCGGAGTCATCAGGCATCCTGATTTTTATTCCGGAGGATTACACAATGATATAGCTTTAGTCATTTTAGAAAAGCCTCTAGTGATCTCCCAATTTGGGGCACTTATCAACGAAATATGTCTACCTGGTGGTAATGATCAAGAAAGTTTCAGAAATAATTCCTGTATTGTTGCTGGATGGAGCAATAAGGGTAAGTTACCAGAGAGCCATATCAGGTGAATTGCCCTTATAACTTTGGAAAAGTTTTGCCAATAAATGTACAATACAGGACTTAATATTTCTATGATTTTTGTGCAATCGCGATGGCAACAATAAATGATCAAATTGTGCCCAATAATATGCAAAAGCAGTTTGGATTAAGTTAGGTTAAGTTATTACTATATGTGATTTCTGCAGCTAAACACATAAACTGCGCACCACTCAATGTGTCGCGACCAAAAAGTTCGTCCTTTTTCAAAACGACATAACTTTTTTGTTTCTTGTACGATTTTATTTTGGTCTGTGATTTCTGCTAACCCCATCCTCTGGCAATTCATGCTATAGATATTAAGCATACAGTTCTTCAAGTAAATTTCCTACAGGGTGATGTAAAACGGTGAAAAATTTCAATAATTTCATCCAAGCCCCGTTTGTAAAACAATATTTTTTTTTTCGTTTTTACTTTGAAATAATGTAGTATTATGTATTTTTCGAATTGGAATCTTAGCAACGAAAATATGATTTTTTTTCCAAAAGAGTACATTTAAGGCTTTTTGGTAGGCAATATATTCAGTCTTTTTAAGAACAAGAAAATAAGATGGTAAAAGATTGTTTCTTGAATAATTCTGAACAAGCGACAAGCAACAAACTTCCATTATTTTCAGAGGGGCCTAAGCAAAGACCACTTTTTCAAAATGACATTTTGGTGAAAATTTGCGAAAACTAAACCTGAACCGATATTTACGTTCGTGACATGTTTTCTTTATAATTTTGACCTCCTGATTGTGATTCAGTTGTCAAATTTAAGTTTCAGATAAAACCAAAATCATCAAGAATCAAAATTCGAAAACAATTCCCGGCTGTTAAATGTCTTAATAAAATCAGATTGCTGGCGTGTTTCTTGCATATTTATGATTAAAATGCCATTTGGCATTCATTTTTTGGGCAAAATTACTGCAATTTGTTTGAGTGGTTAGGATAATGTTACATAACTTACATTTTATTGCGCACTAGTGATAACTTATCACTGATAAGTACCCACCTAATTGGTAATAAAGTTATATAAAAATATTTTTGTTCATTTTGAAAAATTGTATGTGAAGATATAATCATAATTAAAACTACAACATTCAACAGAAAAATGTAACAAACAATAACAATAATAACTTTCAATATTTAGTTGGCCCTCCCCTAAACCGTAATAATTCGTTAACCCTCCTGGGCCTCGACCAAGTTCCTTATAAATTCCTGGGGTATCCCAATCTTCCTGAATAGAATTTACCAATTCATCAAAATGTTCCATGCGTCCTTCCCTCCCATTCATTTTCAGTTTCATCCTGCTCCACATATGCTCAATAGGATTCATATCCGGAGACAAAGGTGGCCAATTCGGTTTGACGGGCATTGTCGTCCACCAACACTAATTATTGGCAATATTTTGAGCATAAGGGACCACGATATCTAACAACCAAATCACTGTATCTCTCAGCATTCACTCTTTCCATTCATCTCCATTCCACCCCAAACAGTCACTCTTCCACCTCCAAAAGCCAATCTTCTGCGAACTGTTGATTTTGAGATGTTATTGAATCATTTAAAGGAAGAATGGAAGTAACCTGTGTAAGATATGGGTAGGTATGTAGGTAGGTAGGTATAACTTATGCAAAAAAACTGAGAAATACTAAATTTTGAATATAAATAAAAAAATATCACTACGCTACATACATGGCCACCATTTTGGATTTTGTTCATATACCAGGTTGTATTCAAAAGTGAATGTCCTAAAGAAATCTTTAAGCCGTTACAAGGGTTGCCCCAATTTTTAGACAGATGGGGGGTTATAATGGGGTCTTAGTCTTAGTTGTGAAAAAGTTGACTAATTTCTTTCCCAAACCATGGTTCTCTGGGTTGTAGTGTATTTGAAGCAATGTTAACCCTGAAAATAATCAACGGTACAACTAGCTAACCTAACTTTTTTGTAGATACTTCAGTACCTCTTCGAAAAGTGGTAGTACCAACAGTACCGCACGACATCTGCCAGGAAAAACTACGAAAAAACTCGAAATTAGGCGCGGGATTTGAACTGCACGACTCGTTTACATGCGCGGGGGGAATCAAAAACCAAGACGCTTGTTTGGGGGATGGAGGTAGTCCATTGATGTGCCCCATCAATAATGTTTTCCATTTGGTTGGTATGGTTTCGTGGGGACAAGGTTGCGGACAAACTAATGTACCAGGGGTTTATACTGATGTTGCCAAGTTTACCAGTTGGATCAAGCAGGAACTTGACAAGAATCTCATCAAACATAATTTGTAAACTGTGTAAATAAAAACATTTTATCTATTTTTATATTATATTATTATAAAACCCCTTTCGGTGTTGAAATGAGATACTTTATCCCACCCAAAATTTTGATTTTATAGGTTGGCTATACTTTAAACAGCATAATATTTTGCATATTGGTTATAATATTTTTATGATTTTTCTAGTACTTACGAGACTTTTCTGACAATAAATTTTGTTTGACACCAAAGAAAATCCTTTTTTTCTTCTTTAACATTAACAGCCGCTTATTGTAAATAAGTAATTTAAGGACGGCATGGCGAATCGATTTTGACATTAACTCAAACTCAAACCAATGACTGTGATACCAACTAAGGTAAGTGCGGGTAATAAGGCCCAGCAGGTTATAAGGCCCGACAGCCATTTTACCTTCATTTTTTAAATTATAATACTGGGGCTGCCATCTTATGATTTTACTAGGTAATATTTGATATTCGATAGAGTTCCGCCTTAATAAGATGTCGTTTGCTGATAGTAAATACAACAAGTGTTTCGACAACAAGTTTCTTTCGTGAAATTATAAAAATTGTGGTATTTTCCTAGAGCTGTGCCTAAAAAGCGTTTATTCAATTGCTGCGCCATTACAGGTATGTATCAATACACATATTACCAATGTTTTCCTAGAAAATGATTGGTTTTGTACTATGCATGTCTGAGTTATAACCTTAAAACAAGGATCTTTACAAAGCAGGTAATAAGGCCCACCAAATAATGAAACTGGGAAGAAACCCCAAAAGGCCAGCGGCTCGGCAACAAAATGCAAGATAAAGCGAAGATAAGTCAAACGAAGGCCACTGTAGAACCATCGACCTAGACAGAAAGCGCAGACGCCAACCCCGAGGAAGATTGGTTCTGCAAGCTTTTTGAACTGGATTTTAAGCTGGTATGCGCCAGTGTGCCATGTGCCTCACCTGGGTTCATGAAGAATGTGTCGGACTGACGCCTGAGGATAAAGATGTGTTTATTTGTCCCTAATGTGCACCTTAAATGGATGGGCTTTATTATCTGTTGAGCATGAAATAAGGCCCATTAACGAGTTTTTTAAAACCTAAGAATTTTTTTTTTGTTTATTTCATTTGAGTTTATAAATGTTACAGTATGTAGTTTAAAGTTAATATATGTTTATGAAATAAAAAAAATTAAAAAATGTGCACGTTTTCTTTGTTTTTTTAATTTAATGCGTTAGGTGGGCCTTATTACCCGCACTTAGGTACCTTATCTAAAGTAAAATTCGAACAAATTAAAATGTATAAAATTATTTTTTTTATAGAATTTTGGCAAAATAGATAAAATAGCATAGAGAACTCATGTCATAAAACCTTTTGTCGCCCTCGTCCATTACAAAACTCGCTCCTTCGTCGCTCGTTTTATAAATTGTCCGCGTGCGACAAAATGACGTCTTATGACATTAGTTCTTTAATATACTATTCAGAGCTGTTGCAAGTACCCTACGATAGTACTGTCAGTATCCAGTAACCAGTATCATAATATTTCATTTTACTTTCAGTACCAGTATCCAGTATTTAATAAATGTACTTACAGTATCAAGTAAGTACTGAAAATTGTAAAAAAAACCAGTACCAGTACCAAGTACTCATAAAGTTATGGTTTTAAGTAATTTTGATTACTGCCAGTAATTTTGATTACTGCAAGTAACTTTGATTACTGCAAGTAACTTTGATTACTGCAAGTAATTTTTATTAGGTACTTACAGAATTTTCAGTACTGGTGATATCAGTATCATATTCATAATCATATTATAATACATTTTTGAATATAATTTTAAGAGTTTTAGATGTAATTTTTGAAACTTAGATATTTATAATTTTTTGCAAAATAATCATAATCTTAATTTATCTGCAAGTATTAATAATTGCATTTCCTTAAGAATTATTTCAAATTTGATGCAGGTGGCAGAAAATAATAAAACATACATAATAGTCATACCTATTTAGTATTATTATTTACGTATACTTAGTAAGAAAGAAATATTTATTCAAATAAATTTATTTGCAAAATTATCACTCACAAAAATAAACAATTGTTTAAAAATCAAAATAAACTTTAAGAAAAAATAAACGTGTATACTAATTACACTATACTATATATAAGTTATATAAAATAAACTAGTTTAAACTGGTATTTTCTTGGAATACTGGAAATGTTCTAAAAGTACCTACTGAAAGTCCTTTTCATCCCTTCCAGTAATTAAAATACTGGCTGTATCGTTTTAAGTGTTTCCGCAGTAGAAAAAGAAAACACAACTGTGAAATCCGCAGAAACGTCAAATTGCAATGTCCTAACCTCACTTTTTGTTTTATTATTCTTATTTAATTTTACAATAATTTAATGAAAAATAATAAACATTAACAGTAAAACAAACAAATTAGTGCTTATTATAAATAAATTAAACCAGTTTAGTAGTTTAGTAACTAATTACTTGCCTCATAAAAATTTTTATCGGCCTAGGCCATAACAAGTTATTTCTTTATCGAATGTTGACAACAATAAAGTTTAAATTATAGACCGCGTGGAGATAAAAAAATTTATTTATGTCTTTTAATGAAGACTTATTTTCTGTTTTGCGAAACAATGACAAAATCCAATAAATTTATTTTCTTTCATATTTTTTTATTTCAATAATTCCTTTAAAGTTAAGAAGATATGGAAAGGGCGACTAAATACAAATAAAACAAGACAAAATGGTGCAAAATGAAATAAAATTGTTTAGTTGTTAAATTTATCTATGAGTCTATAAAAAACTAATAAAAACATTGAATTAAAAGTTCTAACCGCTATGGTAACTATGGTTACAAGAATAAAAAAAATAAAAAAAAAATTGAACAGTTTTTCGAAGTAATGCATATTGTGTTGGTATTTTTCGGGATGGTCAGAGGGATACCTGAAGTCCTTATAAAAGCAGAAGGGATTGTTTCCGGTAAAATGTGCGCCATATTTGTCTCTCTGATCGAATATCGATAAGCTCTGGTTATACCACCCATATAAAGTACCGTGTTGTTTTAAGAATTCAATTTTTTTATTGGCTTCCGATGTGTACGCAACGGCCAAACAGTTGACAATGACGCTAAAACGCGTCACATATTTCAAAATCAAATCCCACGACTCCATGTTGAATATGATTTTCGGGATCGGTCGCTGCAACTTGTAGACGAACCAGTAGGCGTCCCCGCGCAATCTCACCAGTATGCACAGAAAAATCAAGATGGGCCCGAAAATGTTAATTGCGTTCCAGTTGGTCAAAAAAGTGTGCACCAGCAGCACTTTCATTAACTCCAAAGGCATCCAGGTCGACTGGAACTTTTCCAACTTGAACTCCCTTTCATATTGCGGGATATTTATTACTTCTCTTTTGTTCCTTGTTAAAAAGTATTGTGTAGATCGAAAAACCCTTCCAAAAAGAAAAGTGAAGGATTTTAGCATCGACAGGAAGAACATTGTCACTAGGCAAGTGTTTGGCTCGCATTTATCATACTTTAAATAAAAATAATTGTTATTTATAGGTACATTGGAAAATATACCTTTAATGAACGCAAAGTAAATATAAATACCGTATTGGTTAAAGACAGCGAAAATAAAGCGCAAAGTAATAAAGTGGTTACTGTGCGTAACAACGTATTTATGCTGATACAATGAAGCTAAGTACCAAGCCAAGTAGCTAAGACCCTTGTAGATAATCTGAACTACGAGCGTGTGTATTGCCCATAACAGGAATTCAAATCTGTGATGGTACGGAGAAAACCAATTATATCTTCCCGCTAACACTTGCAGGTACAGAACGAAATTAATTTTGCACCATGACATGAAGCAAAGGATCAGACAAACGGCTGCCGAAAGCGTGTGGGTGAGTACGCCTCGGTAAAATTGAATGTCAAATGGCAGGTAAGGTTCAATTTGACCGGTGATTGGCGATATCCTTCGGTATTGAACGTTTTCCTTGAATTGAAAACGTTTATCCAACAGGAATTCGTTGTTCTTTATGTTCCAGCGCTTTCGAAGGTCCCGTTCTCGCAGAAGCCACAGGTTTTCCGCCATGCAGGCCCAAATGCAGGTAAAAATGCAGTGTACATACAAGCTAAAGTCGTCAAAGAGCACGCCGATGTTAATGGTTTTGCAATTCCCTATCATGGAATGCGTGTAGCATTCGGTTGCCTCATCATCGCATATCCCGCACACCCGGATAAGCGAATTGCAAGATTGTCCTGCATACTCCAAAAGTTTAAATCTTTTAGCAACAATTACGATAATGAAAAAAAATGAAATCAAGCAAGCAGGCACCAACATTTGCAAATAAAAATCTATAAATGCAAAGTAGAAAGCCACCTCTATTCCGTAGTAATTCTTGATCGCATCCAAAGGCGCCCTTTTGAATATCATCGACGGGTTGGCCCAATATTTGGCCAGCAAAGTTCTCTGATTAAAGTCCTCATCAAGTTTGCCTAATCTGTTCGTTTCTATGGGACCATCGTGCAAAGCATACGATTGCAATATAATTCTTTTGCCCAGCAAACTTTTAATCCCTTTGTGAAAATCGTCCTTGCCGTATTTAGCCGCTGAAAGTACATGGGAAATAAAGTATATTCTCCCGCAGTAATCTTCCCCGGCTGTAGGGTCCATGTCGTCCAGAGGAGTGCAAAATGTTTTTTTTCTCACGTACTTCCGCTTCGATTTCCTGGTATATGCCCAAATTGGAGTTTCGCTGGACATGTGGAGAAAAGTACGCTCGGGAATATGCAGTTTAATAAATATAACCGGTTCAGTGATGCCATAACTTTGCTCAGTTTCCAAACCGGCAGCCTCCAGGTTCGTCACATAATTTTCTATAGTTTTTTTGTTCCTCTTGGCACTTATTCGAGACACCGCCAGAACATGATCCACTTTTCGGATCCCATCTTCGAAATAGGCAGTGGACAATATTTGTTTTGGACTGACCGAAGACCTTCGAGCACTAGAGTGCTTTTTATTTTTCATTTGATAAATGTCTTATATGGATGTCATTAAAATTATTACTCAACAATGCCAACAAGCACCAACAGTCATAAATATGACTAATTGGCAAAGCCATAGATAACATAGCGAAAAAGCAGTTTCTAGTAACCAGTCAAATTCTACCGAATCCAGGTACCAAATGTAATCTTTAAATTGGTAAATTTAAGTTTCAAAAAGTTTGACTCTGCTGCATTAAAATAAATCCGCATGCGCATTGTAGGGGTTCATTATAGGTAGTCGTGTAAACTCATAGTGGATGATTTATTTTATGGCGTCCACAATCCACACAACAAGGTCTCTTCGATCTCGTACTAAAAATACTTAAAATCACTGCAACACTGCACATCATTCAATGGCGTCCATTTTTGTTGTTTACAATTCTTGTGCTTTGGGTTTGTACAGATTAATAATCTTTTCAAACGTTGTTTCTTACAGAGAGACTTGCAAGCCTTAAAATAGATCTCAAAGTGGTAAGAACAATCATTTTACTCCTCTTTTGTAAAAAATAAACCTTATTCTGTCAGGGCTGTCAAATGTCAATTTAAAGGTTAATTTGTGGGTTATAAAATAACCTTGAATATTGAATTATTATGACATTTTAAAGTTATTTTAAGTTGTTTTATGTGAACTTATAGGTACTATGCTCCACACCTTATTAAATTTACACATTAGCGACTTTTCCGAAAAACGGATTGGGGGTTGCCAAAATGCAAAAAATACGTGTGGAGGGATGTAAAAGTGCATAAGCAATCGGCGCAGGGTAAAAAACTTGTATAATTATCACGTAATTAATAAAAGGGGCTGATAATTAAGGTGACCAACTCTCCTGAAGGAAAAAACAGAACTCTAATAAAAAATCTGTATTTTTTATAAAATGTTTACATGTATTTCTATTAACATAATATTATTACAAATTAAGATTTTTTAAAACTATATTTTTCTTGGGAGTGAATTTTTTTTATTAGTACATTTTTTTAAAGCATATTTGATCGAAATTTGATCGAAATATGCAATTGTCCAAAAGTTGTTCATATTGGAAAAAACTTTCTCTACAGGACTATTTGTAAAAGATAAACTTTTTTGCATTTCTGCATTAAAGGTGCATTTTCCTCTTTGCAGAGGCATATCATTTAGAATTTGAAATATAAAAAACAATAGATATTACAATATTTAACCACAATAAAACGCGCAGACGTCAGGGACATGCGCAATACTAAAATAGTTCCGAACTATTAGTTCGTTTGGGGAGAGCCAAGTGCAAACGCCAACGCGAATGTATTTAGTGGGAGTAGGGCGAGCAGGGTTGCATGATTGGGCGAAAAATCTAGCAAAGTGGAAAATATAATTTTATGTTTATGGCGTAATTAGTGTTGTAGGTATGAAAACAGAAAAAAACAGAAAAGCTTTTGAAAAAACAGAACTTTTACTTTACTTAATTTACAACCAGAACATGTTTCTCAAAAACAGTATAGTTCTGGTTAAATCAGAACGGTTGGTCACCTTACTGATAATTGAAGTGACTTACAGTGATTTTCTGTGAAAAAGAGCATGTAGCGAGTCAAAAACACGTATCTATTAGACGTAGATTTGAAAGTGAAGTGAAAAAGCTTGAATTATGAAAAACAACGTCATAAATTGCGGAAAATGCAATTTTTAAAATCAGGTAATTTGAGGTTATGCAGGTTCACAATCCAGCCTGCTCATAGATATATTATACCTCTATTGCTCAATGGGGCGGAGGGGCCAATGGGGCAGGGTCGGTTGGGTTGGGTTGTTAAGTTTGGGTTGGTTTGGGTTGGTTTCGCTCACCTTTACCCATTTTAGTGTACCTGCATAACCAAGATGACAGCTAATCTTCATAACCTCAAATTACCTGATTTTAAAAATTGCATTTTCCTCAATTCATGACGTTGTTTTTCATAATTCACGCTTTTTCACTTCCACTTGCAAATAAAAATCTATAAATGCAAAGTAGAAAGCCACCTAGAAACTATTTGTAATTCAAAATTGCGCGTTTGTGATTGGTGGAAATTAAGACGAGGGAAATAGTCGGCATTATAAACCATGATGAATAATAATTCTTTGAAATTGACTTCCCTTTAGTTAATAATTATAAACCACAACTAAACAGCTTGTTGATGTTCTATATAGTTCTATTTAGAACACAAACTTTTTCACTTACAGCTTTCACCTGAGAGAACTTAAAATCTTTTTCTACTGTGTAGTTATTAAAAAAGATCAGTTTTTAATTAACATTCACTTTATTAATTACATTGATAATAAATTTAGTCAAATCAAAACATTCCAATGATAAATTCTCAATTATATCAAAATGATCTACATTTTTTATTATTCTATGAGTCGAATCTATTTCCAAACTAACTAATTTTTCGTGAAATAATTCAGCTTGTTTTCTAAAAGCAGGAGGGTCATATTCCGCAGCAATGACGTAGAATTTTGATGATGGACTTCTATAGAAATCTTGGAACATTGGGCTTGCTTTTTTTGCACATTCCTCGTCTAATTTTAAAGCAGAGTTGTAGCTGGTTTTTAACAAAGGTGTTAAGTCGAAAATTCCACTAAGAAGAAATGCACTTTTAAAGAGTTTTTGGTCCGTTAAGGGTATTTTTTGTAAGTAGTTATTAAAAATTTTCGCCACCAAATGGGCTCCAGCAGAGTGCCCAGCAAAATGCATCCCTCTAAAATAAAAAGTTTTATATTCTGCAGTCAACAAAAAAATTGCACACAAAAAATTTGGGGCTAAAATACCCTAGGCCGCCACTGTTTTATACACTTATAAATAATAAATATTATTTTTTTTTGTTATTTATAAATTCAGCATAAAAAGTAAGCATACAAAATTTTATTATTTTATCTCAATTTTTCTATAAAAATATCACTTTTTTTGGTAATAATTTTTACCCACGATTTTTCAACTAAAATTTAAGTTTCCTTTGGTTTAAGTTTTATAAATTATTTCATTCAGTGATAATTATCAATTGCACACCATGGTCACTTTTTACCTGCCCGCATTAAATCCTTAATTTAAAAGATTATTGTACTATTTTTTTATTTTGTCAATTAATTAATTAAATCCTAATTGAGGTATAAAAAATGGTATTTAATAATTATTATTGAGGTATAAAGAAACTATTTATAGTTTAGCATTATTTAATCAATTTAGTTCGAAGATTAATTTGAAAACAAAAAGACCTCCTTTCGTTAAGCAGTTATTCATAATGGATTTTTTACAGTGGAAGAAAAAATAGAAATGATTTTGATTTATGGAGAAGCAGGCAGGAATCTTGATGATGCTGTTAATATCTACGCTCAGCGTTTTCCGGATAAAATTCGATCACGTACTTCATTTCACCGTACAGTCAAGCAGTTTACTACAAACGGGAGTGTTCATCTGAAAAAGAGTTCGTCGAGCAACAGTCACAGGTAGAAATAATGAAATTAATTTATTAGCAGCAACGGCCGCTAATCCTCATGCAAGCACACGAGAATTATCTAGAGATTTGTTAGCAGAATATTAAAACGAAATGCCAATTAATAAATGCATTGAAGTCGAAGGCCACCGTTTTGAGCACCTACTTTAATTAAAATAAAAAAAATAAAAAAATTAATTTAAAAAATAAAACCAAGTATTTTATTCAATAATTATTGGAGAATCGTATACAGAAGAAAAATCGAACAAAATTGATTTTTTTTCATTACAGCGCCATCTATTACAAATATGACAAAATCTACCTATTGTTAGTCGAATAATCCGAATCTGCAATAAAAAATAGGGTGTTCCGTTGGAAATTTTAAAGTTACCCCCTGTTCCCCCTATAAGGAGGAGCACCTTTACAAAGGGCCATTATAGAACCTTTACTGTTTGCTGGGAAACCACTTATAGAGTATTTATTGCACACTATTTTTGAGATACCTTGTATAATTATTTAACTGAATTAAAAATAAATTTTCAAGATTCTTGAAATCCTGAATCAAGAATGCCCAAAGGATTTCATTAATTTGTATGTAAATTTAGTAAAAGAAATAATAAAAATTTAAAATGGTATAAAACCTGTAATTCTTGAAATTTTTTAATAAAATTGGAAATTTTTCGATAAACTTCAGTGAATTAATATTGTACCACTTTAATTTGAATTATCTTAATTTGGGCTTACTTAAAAACTAACTTTTTTTCGCAAACTTCAATTGAAATTCTGCTTGCGCAGAACTTGTCTATATAATGTCATATAAATTTAATTTGGGTCCCATGTCTAATAACTGAGATATGGGTGTGCCCAAAATCCACCAGCCGCCACTGGGTCTCACCTAGATCCATTTCTTCTGCAATATTTTAAACAATATTCGGCTGCTGCTTCTATATTTCCAACCAACTCTTCAAACGTAACGTCTGGGCATAGTTCATACCCAATGCAAATGGTTTTAATTTTATTTTGGTACATAGCTTTTGCAAGAAAGGATTGCATATCTTTTGTTATGACCTTTTCTTGCCAATAACCACCATGTATAAATATAAAAATAGGAGAATCTAAAATTAATAAATAAGAAAAAATGTTTAAAGTACGATTTACAGGGTGCTCCAAGTATACTACACTCACAGGCAAAATAATCGATACACACAAATTTTCGATGAATTTCAATCGCAAATAACTTGTTTATTTGATGTCAGATTTAAACGAATATTAAAGAATATTGTAGATATATCTATATATTTATAAATTAATGGACAATCGCTCACATTTTAAAAAAATTACTAAAAAATAGACGTACGTTTATAATATACAGGTTTAAACAAAAATATGTTTTTTACCATAAGTTTAAGACACTCTGTAGAGTGGCAAAACCGTATATTAAAACAATTGTTCTGAATTAAGTTTTAATTATCAAGTTACATATATTTTTAACTGTTTTGTTTTTGGTTCACCTTGATATATTTATTTTTGTGAAAAATATGGATTTTTTAAAAAAACATTGCAATTTCCAATATTTTTCCTGTATGAAGAACTAAGGTTGTCCATCCATAGCCTATGGAGGATGACAGTGACAGTTTTGTTGAATAATCCCATACTTGGACATGTCATATACAGCTTTCAAAAGCTATCAAATTGTTTTTTGTACATTAATGTGTTAATTTTGAGGTGTCTTCTTACTTTTAAAAATGTCTCCGACTGATGTTGCCCTTTGTACTTTACTTCTTGTGACGTTTAAAACACTTGCCACGTAATACTGTGACCTGGATTAAATTAATGGCTCTGGCAACATCAGTCGGAGATATATCCATTTTTTAAAGTAAGAAGACACCTCAAAATTTAAACATTAATTTTCAAAAAACAATTTGATAGCTTTAGAAAGACGTGCATGACATGTCCAAGTATGGGATGATTCAACAAAACTGTCACTGTCATTCTCCATAGCCTATGACAGAAAAATATTGGAAATTGCAATGTTTTTTTTTTAAATCCATATTTTCCACAAAAATAAATATATATATCGACGTGAACCAAAAACAAAACTGTTAAGAATAGATGTGACTTGATAAATAAAACTAAATTTAGAACAATATACGGTTTTGCCACTCTATAGAGTGTTTTAAACTTATGGTAAAAAACATATTTTTGTTTAAACCTGTATATTATAAACGTACGTCTATTTTTATTAATTTTTTAAAATGTGATCGTATGTCCATTAATTTATCTACAATATTCTTAATATTCGTTTATATCCGACATCAAATATTTAAAAATAACTAAAAATTTTTCAAAACAAAAATTAGAAATTAGATGAAAATTTAGGTAACTCAGTTAAAACGATTTTTGGTTTTTAGTTTTTTCAAATTATTTAAGAACCTCACATTTTTTTCTTAATTTTTAAATGCCATTTTAATAGACAATGGACCTTAAGGTCATAGCCACAATCCACACAGCTGGAATTTTGTATCTTCAAAAGTTATTAGTCGAAAGATTGTTTTTAATTTTTAAGTTAAAAATTTTTAACACCTTAACAATTGTAACTTGAAAATTCAGAAACAATTTTTTTATATCAAAAAAACTGATTTTTGTTTTAATAAAATATACACTTACCATTTTTTAAATCAGTTCCAAATATATCAATTTTTTCTCTTGGACGAGGACCATATGGAATATTTAAGTCCGACGAAATTATTTGTTTCACCTTTAAACTTTCTAAAAAATAAATTATATTTTAAGGGAAATTCACTGCAGTGGCGGCTCGTGGGTGTATACCCAGATAGCACACAACGTCTTGAAGATGTCTTTTGTATGTCTGTATTATGCCTGAACGTCTGAAGATCTAAAAAAGACGTCTAAAAGACGTCTTTTGATAGACGTCTTAAAGATATCTTCATTAATGTTCTAAAGATATCTTTTTTTTTTTGATAAAATAGATATCTTTTTTGATAAAATAAACACTTAGCATGCTAGTTAGTTTAATTTTTATTGTGGTTTGGGTAATATATTGACGTATTTTTTAAGTAATTTAGTAGGCATTCATATTCTGACCCCAACATAAAGAAAGCAATTTGGTTTATAACTTTATATAGAATAATTAAAGGGAAAAACACAAAATTAGTCGGTGGTCAAACCAAAAAACTGTTTTCCTTAAAAACTATTATTATTTACTAACCTTTTTCGATAAACTCCACATGTTTTTGACATATAACGTTGGCAGAAAGTCTTTTTGACCATTGGCTAGGTGAATAGGCTTTTTCAACTTCGTTACTATCCATTTTTCTTTCAAGTTAAAACAATGATACTTAAATCTATATTCTTATTAAATTAAATTAATTGTATGACTTGGCTTAATACAAATAAGATATGTGTTACTGATCCTATTGGAGAACGGGAACTTTTAGAATTTCATGATATCAGTTTCAAAATTTCAACAGAGCCGGCTTCGGTTATTGCAGGTTTAACACAAGTAGATTAGATAAGTTATTATAACTAATAAACATTGTGATGCAATATATATACAATAATATTGTATTCTATATTGAATATAGAATATAATATATTCCCAAGCAGCATTTTTGGTTCCAAAAACCATTACCAAAGTTAAAATTAGTTAAGTATACTAAACAGCTACTTTAATTTTACTTAAAAGTAATTCTAACTTTTAAATAGCAATATTTTGTAACAGAAACTTTAGTCTTTCCTTAAATGGTTACTATAAACATTTAATTAAATGTTAAGTTAAACTTGGGTGCCCCCAAGAAGACTTTGCAACTTTAAAAAAGGTGTTATAAGTAAAAAAATACTTTCAAGTAAATTTAATTTGTAGGTTTCTACCTAGATATTACATTATAATTATTTTTACTTTGTAGTCCCAATGCAAGTTAAAATCTCGAAAGTGGAACATGAGTTAAAAACTACAAAGTTATTAACTTAAAAGTTATTATTTTAGTATTTGGAACGTTTATGGTACTGACCAAAACTACTGTAAAGTAAATTAAGGTGGAAAAAAATAGGGATAGAACGATATCACTTTTTTTTGCCGATACGATATATCGGCCGATACCGATATTTACGTGCCGATATACCGATATATCGTATCGGCAAACATAATGCCATCTATTTATACACGACCGAAGCAAAAATCGGGGAAGTCCCGTTTTAATTCCGTTGCGAGGAAACGTTTGTGATTGGTAGTGAGTGACATTTCGGATTTCTGAGAAGCCCCTTATACAGTGTGTATTAAAACGAATAGATACACTTAAATAAAACAAGTGCCAAACCCCGCCCACTGTGGTAGGGATTGAGAATTTATAGGTTTTATGTTTATCGAATTAAATTTTAAGTATTAAGTATATATCCTTTTTCTATGGTATATACTGTATTTAGTACCTGCTACATTAGGTATATTTGTTGTAAGTGGTGTTAGGATTTGTTTTACTTTTTTAGTAAAAATGGTACCTTTAGTATAAAAATTTTTATTTTGTTTAATAAAGTATTTCATTTATGCACTGAAGAGTGAAAAGCGCAATTTTTTTTGCCGATATATCGGCAATTATCTTGCCGATACGATACGATACCGATAATCGGAAACAATTGCCGATATGCCGATATACCAATATCAATATCGGTATCGTTCTATCCCTAGAAAAAAACTTTAAAGTAACGAAAACTACTTCAAAGGAAAATTCTTCTTATCGGCCATTTTTTAATGTACAGTACCACGTGGTAATGTAAATAATAAATTATTTTACCCACACGGAACAATTACATCCAATGGATATCCAATGGATTTCTTTTATGGATATCCAGGATATACATAGGATATCCGGGATATCCAATGGATAACCATTGGATATATAAATGTCCGACCCTCCTGGACATAGTGTGGATATCCAATGGATACCCAGTGGATATAGTATTGTATGCAATAAGGTTGTAATCTGTATTCAATATGGATAACCATTGGATATATAAATGTCCGACCCTCCTGGACATAGTGTGGATATCCAATGGATACCCAGTGGATATAGTATTGTATGCAATATGGTTGTCATCTGTATTGGATATGGTGAATCAATGGATATTTACTTTTCAATAAATAACATTGGGTTTTAAAATAAAAGTCTTATTCTTTAATTTAAATATTTATTTTTATGAAAACATAAAATAGAACAGAAAACTACATATAACTAAAGAAGTGCTTGCCATCACTCCTCCAGCTGTCATTTGCCTTTTTATCAGCCTAATCATTTAGGGCCTATTTCACCTGTCTCCTTATGATCCCCAAAATTTGGCCAATCCATCAGCCCATTTGTTTAACATGGCACAATGACTAATGTACCATGCCCACCAACACTGACAGACAGACTGTTTCGACCTGTTGGGTCTCATCAGTGTCAGGCAGTTGGTGCCGAGAGACACGCTTCAAGCCAAGCAACCGCCCACCTATATACTAGTTGGGCGACCTGGACAGCGGCGAGATGCAGCGGCAAGGTAATATGGTGACATTTATCTTCTGTGTTCGCCGGCAGTGTTGTCAGACGTTTAAATAATTTCAGAAAGCTCATCAAAATGGCGGTTATATTATTAAATCTTTAATACTTAATTAATTAGTATACCTAGTATACCTATTTGACATAAATGTGGTGAATAATTATTTTAAATTTATTTAATTTATTTATTAAAACTTAATAAAGTACGGAAATATATTTCGTTTAGTTATTTTGCTTATAACCGGCAACACTGAAGATTCTCAAATTCAGCGCGTGCGTAGTACATATATGAAATACAATAATAAACAAAAAGGACTTTTTTAAGTAATTTTTTATTGTATTGCAGACTGTCATAGTCATATTATTAACAGAAATAATATTATTAATATATAAATATTATTATCTGGGTAAAGTGAACATTTCAAAATTAAAAATTTCGTAGCTCTTGGCAAAAAATCAATTTAACGTAAAGTCGTTTTTTTTACATATGCTAGTTTAAACCATCACAAAATCCCACATGTATACATACAAGTATATACACAAGATATCCATATCAGTTATCCACCGGATATCCAGTGGATATCCGGTGGATATACATTAGATGTACAGTGGATATACTTTGGACATACATTAGTTATCCATTGGATATATATTAGAGATACTTTGTTGAAATTGGGTTAATAACGATTTAAATCATATTTATTAATCATTACATAAATTTATCCTATAAGGGGCTATTTTAAAAAAGAAAAAAATATTTTTAATGTTTTTGTTTTTATTTGAACATCCAGTATGGATATCCATCGGATATCCAGTGGATATCCAGTGGATATACATTAGATGTACAGTGGATATACTTTGGACATACATTAGTTATCCATTGGATATATATTAGAGATACTTTGTTGAAATTGGGTTAATAACGATTTAAATCATATTTATTAATCATTACATAAATTTATCCTATAAGGGGCTATTTTAAAAAAGAAAAAAATATTTTTAATGTTTTTGTTTTTTTTTTGAACATCCAGTATGGATATCCATTGGATATCCAGTGGATATCTAGTGGATATACATTAGATGTACAGTGGATATACTTTGGACATACATTAGTTATCCATTGGATATATATTAGAGATACTTTGTTGAAATTGGGTTAATAACGATTTAAATCATATTTATTAATCATTACATAAATTTATCCTATAAGGGGCTATTTTAAAAAAGAAAAAAATATTTTTAATGTTTTTGTTTTTTTTTGAACATCCAGTATGGATATCCATCGGATATCCAGTGGATATCCAGTGGATATACATTAGATGTACAGTGGATATACTTTGGACATACATTAGTTATCCATTGGATATATATTAGAGATACTTTGTTGAAATTGGGTTAATAACGATTTAAATCATATTTATTAATCATTACATAAATTTATCCTATAAGGGGCTATTTTAAAAAAGAAAAAAATATTTTTAATGTTTTTGTTTTTTTTTGAACATCCAGTATGGATATCCATTGGATATCCAATGGATATCGTAAAAGGCATGGATGTTATATGGACATTGGGATAGCCATTGGATATCCATTGGATAGCGTGTTCTGTGTGGGTAATTGTTTGTAAATGGTTGTTTACTTTTTAATACATAGTAATTTTGTTGGTAATAGCATAGATTAATAACCTTTAATAATAATATAATGGGTAATAGACAGTATTAATACAGTAAATAAAAAATTAATAATAAATATGAAGATTTTTTTATTTATAAACATTAAATAAATAATTTGTTTAACTAAAATATTGACGAAGCGCATTTATTTTACAAAAACTAAATTCATAAGTTCAACAGTACATTATACTGTTATTCTGGAAGTTATAAACTACCAGTACATATTTAATAAACGACGACATTGAAAAGCCAAGTCCGTAGTGGTTCCATTTAAAAAAGGAGGGATAGTATAATCTAATATAAGTTTGACAAAGACAGTTAATATAAAAGTGAAAACAAATAAATAAAAGTAATTATAACGCTTTAGCAACGATATTGAAACGTTCTAGTAACGTAGCAGCTACGTTACAAATAGTAGCAGGATTTATAGCTGGTGACATATTTGTTACCTTTTTGGAGCTCAATAATTGTTCCCCACTTTAGTCGTAACTTAGTAATGAAAGAGTAATATAAAGAGACCGGCGACTATCGCAAAACACTTTAAAGATTCTTCAATAGTCCCATATACTTAAATTGTTGCTTGGATCTGGACATAAAAAAGATATCGAAAATTTCTTAAACCCGTATTAAGAATGTAGGGAAATCAGCCAATTGGCTTAAGCCCTAACAGATACCATATTATGTGGTGCCCCATCTTGTTGAAAATGTAATAAATTGTTACCCAAAGCTAGTTCATTATTCTCACCTCTTTGATTTTAAAGTTTATTTATTTATTTTGGTCAATAAATAAGGACGCAAGAATACACCAAAAACATACTCAATTCCATTGAGGATAAATCGTTCAATAACGCCAATATATTTCCAAAATATTTCGTGGCAAAAATTTCAAAATTTTTAGCATTTAATTTGATTATTGTTGAACAATTTGTTTATCCAGTTTTCGTCGCAAGTATCTCGTCTGGTGTCTGAAAATAAAGGGTGATTAATTAATATTGCAAAAAAAATCCAGAATGAGATTCCTTACCTGGCAGTTTTCCACGAAAATAAAAACAAAATACTTCGTTTTCGAAAAAACAACAAATATTTAATAAACCAAAAAAAACAGTAACA